GTGGAGCATATCAGCCAGATCACTCATCTGTGTGCTTGCTGACCTCATCAAAAACCTCTCTAGGTGCCTAGATGGTAAATACTACATTTAGAGAAGATGCGTTGGCACTATCCAAATATATCATATTTATCCAGGTGCAGACAAATTCTATCCTTTATTGCAGTTTCTACTGCTTTGCCTGGCACAGATATTAGGCTTGCCAGCCTTTATTATTGTTCATACTATTGCCTCTTTCCCGCCCTGGAATTTTTTTTAGAGATTGGTGTCACATTGCCACCCTCCAGACTCCAATCACATAGAAAGTATGAAGAGAAAGGTAGGCCCATGAGTAGATTTGCTCTTTCTCAGTGTTCAGCTCTCCCTTAGAAAGCTCAGATGCCTGAGGATTTTTTACTCTGTCTGCCTTGGATTATAGCCTTTCCCGGTTAGCACTCTTTGAGGAAAAGTCTCTGCTGACTCTCAAAAAGAAAGGTTCAAGTATGGGGATCATCTGCTTATTCCAGTGAACACATGCAAATACATCATTTAGCTTCCCTGGAAATGTTTTGGCCTCTCCTCTTTTTTTACTCTGCATTGTCATCGATCTGTTAGACTCCAGTGCGCTTCTTGGTCTTGATGTGTCTAAGGAAAGATTTAATATTAGCTTGGATTCCTTTTGCTAGTTGCTGCTCAGACTTTTTTATTGTTCTTTACCTCTGTTTTTCTTTAACATGTTGGTTTATGATCCTTTCTGTGTTTTTGCATTTGGATAAGACTTAAATCTTTTATTTCTAATAATCTACCCTGTGATGAGACTACTGGTGCCCACTTTCTGTTGCAAGTTCTGAAGACTTTAGTAGATGGCATACACTGATGCTGTGCTGTGCATCCTTCAGGAAGTTCAGCTCTACCTTTAAGAATTTGCTGTTCCTAGCAGCTCTTTTTTGTTTCCTCTTCACAAGCTTTCTCATTGCTATCTCTGTTCCGTTTGAAACTGGGTGCAACTGCTGTGATGCATGGCCTTTGTCAAGCCTGTGGGAATTTTTAATGTAAACACAGGAACAGAAACCATGAGCTGAAGATGTAGGTCAAGATCTTGCACATAAATAAGGACCAGACAAGGGGCTGCATCTCTTCTGTGGCTTCCCTGTCCTACTGCTCTGTGAAGCAGTATTGATGGAGTCTAATGTAGTCTGCATTACACAAAAATGCTGCAGTGTCCAGACAAGGGGGCATTACCTGAAGTACAGTGTTGACTGTATTTCCCACCCTCTTTGCCCATTTGATCTCTCTCAGCATACCCTCTCTGGCCTTCTGGTCAGGCAGGCAGTCTGCAGAATCAGGACTACATTTGCTTAAAGCTGACATTTTAGTCCACTGGCATTCTGTGTCACCTGCTGGGTTCCTATTTTGTTAATTTAATTACAAGATCTCAGTAATAAATTTCATTACCTCATCAGCACCAGAGGTGACTCTTACCTTTCCTGTATATTTTATATTCTGGTTCTGCTATGTCCTGCACGTGTGTAGCATGTCTTTATGTAAGACTAGACACTTGATTTCCCTCCACTTATTCATTGGATTTTTAGCATTTGTATTAGAAGTATGTGTTGTTCCAGTGTTTGTTCCCTCCTTCATCTCCCATTGGAAAGGCATTTTCCTTATTTTCCATTCCTCTCTCTGGCCTCTCCTGCACTCAGAAAGACACAATTTCTAAGCCTTTGCTGATGGCATATTGAACTGTGTGTTCCCCACACCTGCTGCTTTCCAGTGTATACCTTAATCAATCGCAACCTTTAAATGCCATCAGCTTAGCCCTTAGTGAGTCCACACTTCCCATACAGGCTCTTTTTATCTCAAAAGTGCTTCCAAGTTCAGATCAATCTGGATTTTCGTTCTTTAAACCATCCTCTCATGTACATATTGAAAGTTTGCCCTTTTTGGTCAAACATAAGGTAGTGGGGGCATTTTGGAGAGTGCCATTTGACTTGGATGAATTTTAGCTCCAAAAAATGTGAGACACAAAACTATGGGCTCTTCCCCAGCACTTTTAGGGAATTGTTCTGCTTCATATGTCTCAAAAAGTTAAGAAAAGCTTTTTAATTTAAAATTAGAAGGTCTTCCTTCTGAATTATTTTGTATTTGCTTAAAAAACATTTACCAAGTTATAACTGATTTTCTTTTAAAACATTCCTTCAAAGCATGTTTTTTGCAACAAATGTAATGTGGTACAAAATATCATCCGAGTTTCCAGCTCCCAATCATAATTTGAGTAAAAATCCCACACTGGTACAGTGACAACAGAAAACAGCTTTTGAGGAGATTGATCATATAAACTCTGCCAGTAGAGCAACTAAACTGAGGCACAATTTCTTTTAAAATTGCACAGTACAGGTGTCAGAGACCCCTTTTTAAAGTGCTACAAAAGAGTATCGTTTACCACTTTAAATTTTAAGTGGTTCTCTCAATGTTGAAGTACTGCTTATATTATTTTGTCGTTGTTCCAGGAACACACAGAGATCCCAGCAGGAGTCAAAGCCAAACCAACATCCAGAGAAAGACATTCCCCACTATCAGTAAAGATACAATGTGGATGTGCCCACACTCCTTTCTTTGTCTTATTTCTGAAGCCTGTTTCTAGTATTTCAGTGGGCCTTGTCTAATCTAAGTTTGAATATGCATCAGGGCAGAACCGGAGGCAGCGTTACAGAAGTTGCCACTGTCCCATTTGAGTAAAAAAGGAGGTTGGTATTAGAATAAAGGTAATTTTATTATTTCTGAAAGTTACCTACCATGTTTTGGGCAGTGGAAGAAACAGAACAGTCTCTCAAATAATAACATCTATATAACATCTAGCTATAATGCTGTAATAACATCTAGCCTATTTATTATGAATGGTGACACTTAAAAAGAGTCAAATGTAAGGGTCCCTAGCAATAATAAAAGCTTCAAATGCAATAAAACCCTCAAAACCTTGGAACTCATGCCAAAGATTCGTATAGATATTGTAGAAGAGATGTAAGAAATACATAAAAACTCAGCTGAGAGAGCATGTGATCTTAAGTTTACTGTGCAATACAACAGTTTCATAATGTGCTAAAAAGTTAAGCCGCTGCCACTGAAAGAGGAAATCTTGAGCAACAACAGAGAAAAAACATTTTTCTTTGTGTTCCCTTTTTACTAAAAACAAAACATTATTTAGTGTTGAAAATTTAGTAAGTCCTCAACATTTGTTAAAAAGGCAAGCCAGCAAATAAATTTAAATGTCCATGAAGAAAAGATTGTACAGGTGGAGTTAATGCAAAACTAAGCTGAAATTACTGCTTAAAGACCTCTCTGGATACGGCTTCTATCCAAATCAGTTGCTGGATGCTTTTCACCTCCTCTTTGAATTTTAGTGCCTTTTTCCATGATTATGCATGGAATAACTCAATCAGAGTAAACTTGTGTATCTCTCAAAAAATAATCCTTGGGCTTTTAGCTGTGCTTATGGTAAAAGTTGCAATTGTCCAGTTTTCTTTTCCATTAAACTCTGTTTAAACATGTCCAGGGCTGATATTTTAGATGATTAGTGGGCACTTTACTGAAACCAGAGTTGTGTTCTAATATTAAACTTAGCAGCAGGTAGCTGAAATCTTTGTCTGCTGGCTGCTTTGTGGGCATCATCACTTTCTTGGAGAGAGTCCTCTGCCTCAGGAAATAACTCTGCTCCTGTAACTCTTGTAAGCTGTCATTTTGCTGTTGAGTTTGGTTTGTTGTTTTTTTTCCTGTAAGGACTTAGGTATCGTAAGCACTAATGTTGCAAGGTGAAAAAAGTAATAGATAATTAGTGTTCGCTGTTCAGATGTCCCAGTTTCAAAGTCACTGCTGGGGGAAGCAGAGAAAAGCAGAAGTTGCCATCTCCAGAATCTCTTCCCGCTCTTGGAAGATGCTGGAGGTAACAACTTGTTGCTTTTCCAGCATTCCCTTTGTGCTCACTGGCACATATAGATGCACTCAACTTAGCCAGTAAAACTGGATTACTATGTGTTGATTGTAAAAGAAGGAGGAAGGTCGCTTATGCAAAGTACCTATTTCATGTGGTGAGCAGAAGAGAGATGGGGTGGAGATTTATGGATAGACAAGTGTTGACACTTTCTGCAGGTAATGCTATTGTTATAAACATATGGGCATAAAGGTAAAGAATTTTTCTGTTGATAAGCAACAAAGACTCCTGCTAGAAATACAAGGCTCTTAGTCATGATGTTGGCAACTCAAAAAGCTTTTTGACTGGAAAGGCAAAGTAGTCTGCTTGGAAGCAAAAGGCTGCTGTACATTACTGGCAGTTCTGTGGTTGGGTCTCTCTCATATCTGAAATTCTGTATTTTGTTATCTCTGCAGGCATAGTTGAAATTTGGTCAGCTCTGCTTTGAAGTGAGCTGTAAGTATTCATGAGGACATGATCATGTTTGTGACTTGCAATACAGAAATTGCTCACCAATTATGCTGTGAGTAATGCTGCTGTGAAGCTCACATTAAATTCAGAAGCTCATTGATAAAGCTAGGATAAATCTTTTAAGAAGTAGGCCTTGGCATTGTTATAATTTTGATAAGCTTTAGTAAAAAGCCACTTTTTCAATAACAGAAAATTGTATTAGAATTCCATGGGCTGGAATTCCATGGGCTTGACATACACCGAATTTCATTTTTTCCTGTATGTTCTTTCCAAAATTTGGATTGGTTGGTGGGCTCACCAGGGCTGTACATTGTGTATGTCCTCTCACATTAATGTTTGACAGAATTTAAGTACATGTGCATGCACACAAAACTGAAACTAAGAGGCACCAATACAAACAGCAATTTTTCCTATCCTTGGGTATTATTTACTTTTTGAGTCAGGATTGTGTATTATCAAGCATGGTATTTTATAAACCAATAAACAAAAAAGGACCTCAAATTGAAAGCGCATATCAGAGAACATGTTACATATGTTATGATAACTTAAGAGAACCTCCCCTCTATTGACACACATATTTGCTGACATGTGTTTGGTAAGTAGGATGCTGTTAATTTCACAGTTCCTGGTGTATGTTCAGTAAATATGCCCTGCACGCTAGTAGTTTAAAAGTTAAACTCTGCTACTCACCATACCCAAACTGGGACAGTCAGTTATTACATTGATAATAACATGCATTTGGAAAAGTTCATGGCAATGCAGGTTTCACACCTGCTTCTTGTTATGATGCTTTATTTAAAAAAGAGACACATCATCCCACCATGTATTTAATTTTAGTTTCAATAGCTTGCTTTTGTATGAGCTCACCAGTGGGAAATTTCTGCCTCACACTCTCTATGTGGAGACTTTAAAGCTTTGTTCTTATAAAAAATGAACTATTTCTGGTAGCACAGCTTTGATTTTCCTGCATCTATGCAGGAAAATCTCCTGAACTTGATTTCCAATTTTCCAAATACCTCCTGCCTTGGCAGCCAGGTGTTGCTCTGTGGTTTCCAGTGGGAGCAACTTCCATTTGCTAACTTGCAAGTGGCCCGTTTTCTTTACTGTCTTTCTATTCAATCCCCAGTCTGGAATACCCTCAAATCGTGTGTCCCCAGATGTCCAGATTCTTACATGATGGGCACATCTGAAAACATATAAAATAGACTGCACATTGCATTTCCCATCTTTATGAAAACCTAGTATTTCTTTCCCTGAACAATTGCTCCTCCAAGTCTAATCAAAATAGATTTTCCTAGCAAGAAATGTTTATTTCTTGTGACTTTGTGAATGCTTTTTTAAACAGCTGGAGCTCGAGCTATACAGCCATTTCAAGTCAGCACCAAATCACTCAGCATGCAGCTATAATATAGATATTTTATTTTACATAGTTTCTATCAGTTTCCCTTTGTTCTCTTTTCCTCCTTCCGGCCAACTGGTTCTTGACATCTTTGTGTTTTTGCTTTTGGTTTCTGTAATTTCCTGTAGCAAGCACCAAAATTTTGTGACAGTTATTTCAACTACTCACAGTCTCATCCCTTCCTCCCATCTCCCCTGGCAGGGACAGGTCAGAAAGTTGCAAGTTTAGCTGCTAAAATTTCCCTGTGGAAATTCAGCAGCTCCTGCCCTGGGGATGGCATCATGGTCATCACACCAGGCCTGACAGCTCATGGCCCCACGGCCAGAGGGGGTTGAGGATCACAGTGTGATGCTATAAAAATGTCTTATTTGTACAATTTTAGATGCTTTACTTCAGCGTATTTGTTAATTTTGGATTATTCTCTTCACTTTTTTTCTTTTCTTCACTTCTAGCACTTACACTTTACCTTTTCTTTTCCCCGACTGAACTTCTAAAAAGGTTTTCTTTTTTTGGTGGTTTCTTTTTTTTAGTTTTAACGCATGACAATTGTCTGCTTTTCTGTTTCTTTCTGGCTGTCTTTCTGGCTGTCTGGCTTTCTTTCCTCTGTCTTTCTTTCTTCCTCCTTTTTTTTTTTTTCCTTCTCCGCAATTCACCTTTACCCCCATGTTTTCACTTGCGGCTCCCCTTTCCCTCCCCTGCCTTTCACTCCCTCACCCGCAGCCCCGCTCCCGCGCCGGGCCCCGCCATCGCCCCAACCTCGGGGGCCGCTTCTTTCTCCTGGCAGGGTGGCCAATGTGGGGCGGGCTGGCGAGCGCGGGGCCGGCGGCCGGGCGCGGGCCGCTACGGCAGAGCGAGCCGGGAGCAGCGAGCCAGGCAGCGCGGCCGCTCGCGCAGCCTGCGCGCCGCGGGGGGACCATTGGCGCGGTCGGTGGGGCTCTGCCTGCCCTTCCGCGGCCTCGCGCCTGCTCCTGCTCTGCTGCGCGGCCAGAGGGAGCCCCGCAGGTAAAGCCGGGTGCCCGCCGTGCGAGGGGGAGGCGGTGCGCGGGGGGCGCGGCGGTGCGCGGCGGGACCTTTCTCCGCCCGGCCGGCGGCGGAGCGGCTGAGGAGGCGCTGGGACGGGCCTTCCGTTTCGGCCGCTCCGCCGGGCGGCAAAGTCCGACTGCGTGGAAACAACCTGGGAAACTTAGTAGGAACAGAGAAAAAGGCAGGCAAAACCCCGAATTTCCCTCACGGTCCGTGCGCTTCGCCCGGGGCGGCGCGAAAGCCGGTGCTGCCCCGCCGGCCTCGGCTGCCACGTTCCCGAAGGTGCCCGCGGGGCCGGGGCCGCCCCGGGCCGGGCCGAGGCCTTTGGCCGGACACCTCGGGGAGAGGAATAACCCCGACCCGGGCGGGTCCCCGGTAGGGCGTCCCGCCGTCCCCGTTACCCCCCACTTTGTGCGCAGGGAGAGGCAGGAAGGAGGCTTCCCCTTGTCCGAAAGCAGGTGGAAAAGTTCACGTTGAGCAAATTCTTGTGAGCCAAAGCCACGGCTTGGTGAGAGCTACTGGGAAGCAAGTTGAGCTCAGTTCACTAACTAGTTGCAGCTGACGTATTTTTTATATCCTATGTTAGTAACCGGGTAAGGTTTTTAGCTGAAGACGTCAAGTAAAACTTCATGTCCGGGAGTGTTGAACTGGACTAATTGGGTATTAAGAAATTGCTGTACAGAGAGATCTGATGAGACAGCACCAGCAGTTTTTCTGTGAAGGTTTTAAAAAGTGGTTTTCTACTTGACATCAGCATGAGGGTTGTGGGGGAAGAAGTGAAAGAAGATGTAACGTGTTTTCAGCCTCTTCTCACAAGAAATCGAAAAAAGGAAAAAAGTCATGAGGGGAGAATAAAAAGCAAAAAGCAGATATAGTGCCGGAAAAGCACAGCCGTGAAAGGTACCACAAAAGTGGGTTTGTTTGTTAAAATGTCTTAGTTAAAAGGCTGACAGGGACAGTTGGTTGAAAGGTGCTATTTAGAAATAGTCGCTGCAGTAGGTGGCTGACTTAGAGGTTCTTCTTTGCAGTGCCACCAGCTCAGTACTATTTAGATACTATTTGGCACTTACACAGGGAAAAATTCATGAGTATACTGGGAAGTAGTGGTAAAATTCACTGCATAACATCACTGAATATTTTCCTTGCTGTTCAGCCAAACCTGTTATTAACTCATAATAGAAAAATGCAGTAGGAATGTGATTGACAGTGCATTGCTATTAAATACAAAACACTACTCAGCAGATTCCTTATTTAAGCAGCAGAGAAATAGCTTTGTGGGTCTGGGACAGCCAAGGTCCATATGAGCCTGGTCAGTGAAAGTTTTATGCTGTGAAGCCATCTTTATGGTGGCACAGAAATAGCTTTAGGTCGTTTTTTTCGTGGTTAGCTTAAACCTACTGCCGCTTGTCAGAAGTGTTGTTGTACTGGCAGATGTGTTAGCTTGTAAGAGTAGGGTGATCCATATATTTTTTAAGTTGTATACTGTGCTTTTTTTTTCTTTTTTAAGACATACTGCATCACAACTGAAAATGAAACTTGTCACAACTGAAAATGAAACTAGGGTGCTTATATAATTTTTTAAATGATACTCCTAATCTCTGGTGGGATAATCTTTGTCATCTTTGGTGGTATCCTCTTTCTAAAACCCTTTCCCCAAAGCAGTGCCAGTTATTGTAGTAATACTGCAGTTGCACCCACAAACTGGTTCACACGTAAACCTGTCATGCTGTGTATCATACATGATAGCAGTTAAAAAAAACATAAGTGCTTACTAAGTGAAGATTATTATTAGTTACATTTTATGGTATCTGTAGTGTGTAACTTGTAGATAGCCATGAAGACTAGATACTTTACCTAGTAAGCTTGCAAAATTATCAGGGGTTGATCCAATCAGTATATGTTAAATAAAAAGGAAGAATTCTCATCAATAGAATTGGACTTAGAAGTCTCATTTTGTCTCTCTTCTTATAAAGACTTTGAAAGAGCTCTTTTTCCCTGGAAGTAAAGGGTACTCACTGAATATTAAAATGTACTGAATGTGGCTTATACGAAAGAGGTAGTTTTATGTACGAACAGCAGTTGCTGTACTTTTCTGGTAGCATCTCTCAGAATGCAATTACTCTTTTAAAAATGACCTTCCTGTGTAAATGATGCTGAATCATAGCCGTATGTGGATATTTTTTTTTGTTCTTACACAGGCAATGATGCTTTTACCATTCGCCATGACAAAGAGAACAAGTGCATACAAGTTAAAAACTCGCGGATAGTGATAGATGACTGCAGGGAGACAAGTGAAGCTTTATGGAAATGGGTATCCCAGAATCGCCTCTTTCACTTGGGGTCCAAGCAGTGCCTGGGACTTGATATATTCACAAAATCAGTGTCTCGACTGAAAATGGTTGATTGTAACTCAGAATTAATGCTGTGGTGGCGATGTGCTGATGCTTCCATCGTTGGTGCATCTCAGTACAAAGTGACTGTCAAGAATACCTATGTGACTGCAAGCATAAATGCAACAGACCAGTGGAGAAGCAGCAATTCCTCCAGTGATATATGTCAATACCTTTACTATGGTAAGTAAGTTTTTACAGGGGTTTGGAGATTTTTTATTTGTTAAGGGCTTTTTGAGTATGTCTGTGCTGACAAGTTAATCATGTGAAAAGACTGATCAGTAAAGCAATAGAATGTTTTGCTGTGGAGAGATACTGATATTGAATTTGAAACTTCAGTGGTCTTTAATAAAAATAACCATGCACGACTGCAGAAGTTGTGTTATCGAGTGTCTTTCTTTGCAGGTTTAAATCCCTCCCACCGTATTTGAGCGCAAACATATTTAATTATGAAATATCATACACCTTCTATCAGAACTGACACTGTCCTCTTCACCATCATAGGAATTTTGCTGTTTGCAGAGTTTATTTGCTTTGCTGGTAGCTGTACAGTCAAGTCCAGAGCACGCTGCTAGCTCGCAGCCTGCTGGACTGTCAGGAGCAATCCATTCGCTTTGGTGTGATAGTCTGTCCACTTGCCATGGAAGCCAGTCTCATTGGAAATCTCATGCTTGCTGGAAGAAGTGGTGAAAGCTTGGTTTACCATATTTAAAGGCAGAATTTTCTTTGTATTTGAATTGTTCAAAGTGGCCAGTCTAAAGAGCCCAGTAGGCTCCAATTTGAAATGTTTTCCCCCTCCTGTGTGTGTTGATTCCTAGAGCCTTGTTCTGAAGGACTCTGTGCAAACCACCCAGATTTCAATAGGACAGTGAATTTATCCCTAACTTACCAGGTTGGGGGAAACAAGTTTTTGCTGTTTCTCAGAAGAAAAAGTACAGAAAAATATTTTTGTATAATTTGTTTCAGTTCTGGCATTGCTGTATATTATCTGTAACAACAAGATACGGTATTTTAAGATCACAAGTGTGATTTGCATGGTTTTAAGTTAACTGTGTCTGTACAAACAGAAGCATTTTGCTGCCCTTTCCATCCCTGGGCATCTTGTGTATTTACTTCTTTTGTTCTTTTTTTTTTTCCTGCAGAGGTTTATACCAAAGATGGCAACTCATATGGAAAACCCTGTGAGTTCCCCTTTCTGTATAATAAGACGTGGCATCATGACTGCGTTCAGGATGGAACCCATGGGGGTGGGAAATGGTGTGCCACATCTGAAGACTACGCTCGTGATGGAAAATGGGGAATCTGCTTACAACCAGGCATGTTGGATTTCTAAATAGACATCCTAAAAGTGTTCTGTCACCTCACATATGTGCGGCTCCACCTCGGTGTAGCGTGTTGCTGTTAAGCTGGTTAAAAGCTTTTCTATTGCAGCATTGACTTACTCTGCAGTATTTTTGATGACTGATATAAAAGTCAATAGATCTTCAATATTCAAAAGTTTTTCTTTTGAAACGTTCATAATGTTTCCATACAGTTGTGGTTACAAGTACCTTCTGCTTCCTTTAAACAGAGGATGGCTGTCATGATATCTGGGAACAGGATCCAGGGTCTAAAAATTGCTACCAGTTTAATACACAGTCTGCTCTTTCTTGGAAGGAAGCTTATATTTCATGTCAAAGGCAAGGAGGAGATTTACTTAGCATCCAAGATGCATCTGAATTAAGTTACATACAAGGTAGGTGTAATTATTCACATACAAATATCAGGAAATCTTGATAAATTAACATGAAGTGGAGGCAGCATTTTAATTTCTATCCTAAAATTCTGGATTAAAACTTGATTGTACTTAAAATGTTTTGGTTTTCATTTGTGTAGCAAAACTAAGGTGCTGATCTCACTTTATGGCGTTTTTTAAATTTATCTGTATGATTTCATTGTAGCGCTTAGCTGTTCATATTTGTAATGAGGAATGTCCCCAGAATCTCAAATACAGGCCAGAGTGACAGTTGGTGTTTTAGCAGCATGTTACTCACTTGTTATGAAATTGCCCTCACTGATGTTCAGTCTTGGCCTGGAGGAATTATCCATGTGCCTCTGGGACTGTAAAACCAAATGAGAAACATCTGAAGGCATTGGGAGGGAAGGCTTGTGTGGATGAATTTCTCATCAGTTCAAGAAAGTTTGCATGTCTGATTGTAGTAGCAATCTTTCTTTCCTTAAATGCATACCATTTCAGATCACATTTTTAATTTCAAGGAGACCAATAAAAGATGAATATTTTATACTAATGGTTTTCTTTAAAAAAAAATCTCTAGCCAAGGATGACATTGCTGAGATCTTCTGGATTGGCTTAAATCAACTGGACGTTTCTGGAGGTTGGCAGTGGTCAGATCACAAACCTTTGAATTTTGTCAACTGGCATCCAGGTACTGATATTTCTGGTGGTATTAACAATATTCACAACAGTAACTAGTATTTTATGGGTTTTTTTTCCCTTCTCATTCCATTTTCAGAAGCATCTTTTCCTCCTAGCCAGTGAATCTTTCCATTCACATTCTATATTTATGGCTGATTAGATTAATAAATCTCTAAAAATGTAAAACTTAAATAGTATCTTTAAAATCCATATTAGTAAAGAATCCACAGCTCTCCTAGCTGCTGAATTTCTCCTCCCACTGACAGAATGGCATTGACTTTCCTCAAATATTATGATTGTTGGTGTGTGCACAAGGACTGACATTACTTAGAAGCTTAACTTGTGTTTTTAAACTTCAAGGTTACTTAAATTTGTTTCAAGGTGAAGATGAAAGGAGTATAAAACCTAAACCTTTGAAAAACCTTTTTTAATTACTCCAAAGTTCCTGGTAGTGTTGGTGAGACTCTTGTTTGTTAGGAATTTTCAGAATGAATTTGTAATATTTGCACAAATATGTCGTGGATATATATGAGAATCCTGGAGAAATAATGATCAGGAATACTGAAGCTAATACTGTTCTGTTACTCAAGCTGAATTTGAGCTTTTTTAAGTGGAATTCTCTTTTTTCCTTTACCTTCTAGAATAGTGCTGCAACAGGAATTCTGTGAAAAGTTGATAAGGGGTTTCTGTTACTTCTTTGAAAGCTTTACTAAGTAATTTCTGTGAGATTTTTCAAATGTGGTCTGTCTTTTGGAAAGGTTAAGAACTTTGCTGCTTGTACTACTGGCTGCACCTTCTTCTGGAACTGTGATCACACTGTAGGACTGTAATACAGAGCTAGAGGCAAGACTATCCTGAGCTACAGTGGCATAATTTAGTTTGCAGTCATAGCATACATACTAATATTTACTGCTCTGGTGAAAATACTTTACCATAACTAGTACAGGGAGAGCTTGGGTGCTCTGTGTAGGTCACAGCCAAAAAGTTCTTTTAGGAAAGGAGCTTCAAGGAAAGCTGGGGACTGCAAAAAAAGAAGATATTTTCTGTGATATTTCTAATTTGGGGCCTTGCCTAAGATTTCTGTAAAAGTAAGGGTTATGGTTAGCATTGAAAGAAAGTGCAGAGCTGTGCTTGGAGTGAGGGTGGGAAAGGACTGCCAAAGGAACTGCCAAAGGAAACTGAGGGCTGCAAAAACAGTTCTCCCCTGAGATATTTCTAGTCTGGGAAAGTGCTTGGCCAAGTGTTTGTTGTATTGTAAATAGAACATTCCTCCTGGTTCTATGATTAAACATTGGAAAAGAAGTCCAGATTCCTTGATTCTGAAACTTTCTTAGAAAAAACTTCCACCAGTTCCTATGGTAGGACAAGTGCTTTCATTTGATGCAAGTTTTCTTCAAATACAAGGTGCTGTAAAGTGTGTTATTCTTGTATTGAAAAGCAGTAGTAAAATGAAGCATTTTCTGCTATACTGTTTGATGACTTGTGTTACTCTGTTTTTATAGATATGCAGAGTTTGTCCCCACTGGATGGGACTAGTTGTGTGGTGATGAATGCTGCTTCAGGTCAGTGGCAGAGTTACCATTGTGGGACTCAACTTCCATATACTTGCAAGAAGTCGCTCAGTGAAGTTTCAAGCCTCCCAGGTAGGACAGTTTGCATTTTTGAGTTTTGTATGTTAATATGAGTATAATGTTCACTTATGGAGTCTTTTTTTTCCCTCCACAAGCCTTCTTAGGCAACTCTGCCAAAACATTTTCTCAACAGCTTTGGGTTGCTTAGCAGAGCAGAAGCAAACTCTGTTTCTCCAGTGTCAAGATGATGCATCACAAACAGTTTTTATTTTTTGCAGCTTTCTTGTTCACACAGAAAGCATTTTGCAGCACAGTCCTGCCCTTTTCATCACATTTTCCTCAAAGGCTTTTGCCTTCTTTCTTGTGTTGCTGGAAGTCTGGAACTGGCAGTTGCACCTTGAACCTTTTCATCTTTGCTTTAAGCCTGTTTCTCTCACTCTTGGTGTGTATTAAAATAAAGTGGGACTTACCTGGGTGTTGGATCAAACTCTGTTGAATTAAAATAGAAGTAGTTAAATAACCTTACTATCCTTTGAAACCAGGCCCAGCACTGGAAATCAGAGCGTAAGAAGTGGTAGCTTTCCCAGTGTGTACCCTTTACTGGACCCATAACAGCTCTTATGAGATAATTATTCCCTTCTCCTTACCTGCACACACATATACAGACTTTCAGGATATGGTGTCCAGCTGTGACATAGAACTGCTTCCATGCTTTTGGACATTTACCTTCACCTGGATGTCCAACCCTTCCCATATCTATGACCTGTTCTTCCATGCATGCTTTGGCCTTATTGAATTTCCAGGGCTCATGCTTGCAGAGATCTCCTGCAAAAACTTTTACTGGAAGGTAATTGTCCTTGGATAATGGGGAGGACTAGGGCATAAGAGGGATGAAGAAGCAGTGTTGTGGAGGTGGAAAGTGTCATGGAGTGTCTCTGACTAAGCCATGTTCTCTCCAGCTCCCCCTGGAAAGGTGTGTGCCTTTGAGGAAAAAGTAGGAATCAATTTAAATTTGACTAAACTGGTTCAAATTTCCAAATGATCCCCTGAAAACTAGTTGCCAATAATAATTCTTATCTGTTCTCTTGCTCCTCAGTGGGGTATGTGGAGGTATTACCAGTGTTTATATAGTGTATTATTAATTAAAAAACAAAATTCCTGTGATTGGAGTGTTTTATAGTGTGCTTTGAACCAGAAAGGCTGTTAGTATATACCTTTTCAACATGCATTAAAACCAATTTGAATTCTTGAATATCTTGAGAAAAAAAAACAAACTTAAAACTAAGTATTTGTTGAGTTGTGTGCTGCAGTCCTGCAGTGACTTATCTTGATTTGTCGTTAGTTGCTTTTGAAATCTTGCTTACAACTACTTTTGAACCTTTTGCTTACATTATGGCTTAAGCTTAATGTAATGCATTCTTGCTTTTTACTTGCACTCACACTAACTTCTTTCTCCTTCTGCCTACTTCATGGCCCCAAAATATGAGTCCTCATAGTGCTGCTCTTTGAAGTCTATTTGTTTGACTAAACTGTGACCCTTTCTTAAAAAATTAGCTCTGAAGAGATGCTAACATATTCTGATTGCTGCATTCTGGCTGTTTTCAAGGTGCTGCTGGATTTAAAGCCAACCCCTTGCACTACTCGAAGTAAAACAAAAGCCTCTAATTCCATTTCTCTTCATTATTAGAGGATTGGAGACACTTGGATACTCGCTGTGATTCGGGCTGGCTTCCCTATGATGGCTCTTGCTACATGCTGATAAATAACCCATCACCTTGGAGCGTGGCAGATGAGTTGTGCAAAGCAAATAAGAGTAACCTCATCAGCATACACTCATTAGCAGATGTTGAACTGGTTGTTACAAAGCTTCATAATGGTGAGTTGAGATAGTTGTAAAGGTCAAGCATTAAGTGCTGCACACCACAAATTAGAAACTGCTTTCCATGTTCTAGTATAAGCTTGTCATGACCTCTTGCTTTTAAATGTAGGTGTTCATTCTGTAGGTGTACTGAGACTGGTGCTGAATGTTGCTGTTCAGATCCAGGCCCTCTATGTTAGCCCTTGTTTTGGTTTGATTTATTGATTTATTTATTTATTTACTGGGCTAACCTACTTCTAGTTTCTTAGTACTTTGTGTTTTATTTTCTCATTCAAAGAGAATAGTAGATAATTGGGTCAATATTTTGACTACTGGAGCACTGAACTAATAAATATTATCTGCTCTCTTCAGTGTTACATCTTTGTCTACACTCGTAAAATTAAATTTGGTTCAGCTTCATTTTGCTTATGTGTTTGTTATTTCTGTTTGTGGAATTTTTTTTTCTTTTTGTTATGTTCTCTGTGAAACTCACAATCAAGAATATAAGTTAAGAAACAAGATAATAATACATTGTGCTTGTCTCAAATACCCTTTTTCACTGTAAGAAAAAAAATCAGCACAGTATAGTGATAAAAATATTAATTTTGCTGATGTCACATTCCTTTCCTATTAGTTTGAATATCATTTTGAAACTACAGTGTTGTCCTAATTTTAAATTGCAGATGCAGAAGAAGAAATGTGGATGGGTCTTAGGAATGAAGATGTGCCAACCTTGTTCAAATGGTCAGATCGTTCGACTGTGGTTTTTACATATTGGGATCAGAATGAACCAAAAGTTCCTTTTAACAGCACTCCTAACTGTGTGTCATATTCAGGCAAGGTAGGAACACAGTGTTACATCGTAGTAGAGGTGACATTGATGTGTGTGAAAGCCAAGGAGGGGGATAAAGCAGATAACTGATCTTATTTCTGGAATAATCTTTAAAATACATGTAATCATTTTTCTACGAGCAAATTGCTTTAAATTATTTAACCAAAACTTGCTAGCTGTGTACTGGAAAGAATGGAAGAAATGACTCACAGCTCTGAGACTGTCACTACTGTTGGCCAGACGGTTGTCCTTGTCACTGTGTTTTGGGTTAATGTATTCTTGCATGTCTCTGGTAGAGAGCTAGGAAGGGGGTGGGGCAAACTATTGAAAGGAAAAGCTGGGTTCAGCCGTCTTCAGGACCAATTTGGGCCACCCAGTGTGAGGATGGGTAGTGAGATACCTTGGTAAGAGGAGAGGACAGACACTGAGGCTATACAGTGTAGAGGAAGGAAGGACTGGGTGAAGGAAAGAGATCACTAGGATAATGGGAAGCGGGTTATATCCTATCCAGATTCAGCAGAAAAGTGGGGTGAGCCATTGGATCTCATGTGCTCAGCTCCTGTGAGCTGTGTCTAAGCTGCTTCCACAGCAATCTGAGCAGATCTCCTGCACCCATTCCCTTCCTGATCTAAGAGAGTTGGCACCACCCTGGCCTTTTCTTTCCCTTTTGGATGTGATCCAGAATCCTTCCATCTCCGCATGTGCCAGCTTTCTCTCTCCCTTCCAAACATGCGCCTATGCATACAACCCAGGACATCTCGCCCAAATATTTATGGTAGAGGCATTTTGGCTTTCCCCTTGTGGAAACTCAACCCCTGCAAACATGGAAATTGAAAGATGTTAGAATTTAAAATATTTTTTTCCTTTCATTCTTATAGTTGGGACAGTGGAGAGTGAAATCCTGTGAAGAAAAATTGAAATATGTTTGCAAGAAAGAAGGAGAGATTCTGAATGAAACAAAATCAGATGAAAGATGTTCACTGGAAGAGGTAATAGCCTGCATTTCTTTTACTGTCACTTGGTTCAGAAAGCTAAAATCTGCCTAAAAGCACTTACTTCCTCTACTTCCATTTCATTCTTGTCCATTCAGTAAAATCTGTGAAACGTTTTAGCTGGGAAAGGACATGTGTATAGCATGAGCTAAATTTCAGATTCTCCTAAGCAGGCTCTGGATGTATTATCAACCTGTTTATTGATGAAAGTATTACGAACCTGGACCCAGGAGATGTTGTGTTTTATTTATTTGTTTGAAAAAACAAATTAGAAATGTTATTGATAACACCGTTTGTTCTGCGGTTTATGCTTTAAATATGTTTTAAAATTTAAGATAAGCACTTTGCAACATAAAGATATGCAAAGATTGTTAACAGAGATTAGGTTTCTGTTACACATCACTAGGCTCTCATTTTTGTTCTGTGACTTGAATAAAGGTGGGAGGGGTTTGGTTGTTTTGCCTTTTTTTTTTTAAGGTATAACATGTTACAGCACAAATAAGGCTTAAAAAGAAGTCTCTTGTCTTTCGAACAAGCTTAGGATGGTATTACTAGCTACTTCAGAGTTATTTGGTTCAGTCTTGTGTGGCACATTACTTGCAACAGGAAAAATGTTTATCCCATATCTTTCTTCCTGCGCAACCTTGGGGTACTTTTCACTGTCTTTTCAGAGACCTCTAGCATGTAGAGTTACAGCTTTAAGTGCTGTTCAGACACCAATGGCATTGGTAGGCTAGAAAAGAGTTAACACGTTAATGTGTCTTGAAATTTCAGTGTAAATATGGGGATAAGTGTTTGAATAATAGAGAAATTTTGTAAGTTCATCCTTTTTTTCTCAGAAGTAAAGAAACACTAGTAATGCCCTCTTAGTATTCCTCTGTTTGAATCCTGGCGTTGGTGGAACAGCATGAAAACTCCTATTGTTTTGAATAGGACTATGCTGTTGTCCTTGTGTTTCTCTCTGTAAATGTACGTAGTGGTCAGAAGACTCTGCACAGGCAAGCTAAAACAGTGGTGTATTTTATTCCTGTGGCTGCATTATTTCTTACAACTGTGAATCTGAAGAGTTGATGATACTGGACCTTGTATGTGACATGCTGCGACACACTGCATTTCTTTCTTGTTTATGATGTGCCAGCTTGTGGCATCAGCAATGTTGGCAATGATTTATTTTCTCCTGTAGGTAATGCCTAAATTAGATTGTTTTGTACAAATGTGGTTTTTGTTCTCTAACCAGGGATGGGAGAGACACGGGAACTACTGTTACAGGATCGATAAAACGGAAGTTTCATTTGGAACACGGTGCAATCTTACAGTGATGAACAGGTAAAGCACATTTGTAACTTATAGGCAGGTTTAACAGTACAATCCTGGAGGAAAAGATCAGAGATTAAAACCTTGGTGTGCTAACTAATGGTTCATAAAGAAAAAGTAGGGAGAGAATTGCTTTTGCTGAGAACTAGTGAAAATTAGTGTTTGGTGTGACTGTGGTAAACTTACAACATGAAACCTTCTTGGAAGCATGAGAATTCCCAGCCTAGAGACCACATGTTGAATACAGGACTGCCTGGACAACTGCTTGAACTGACTCATGTAGTAATACGCCTATTTTTCGAATTGTCTCAGTAGTTTCAGATATCTTTCAAATATTGACTCAGCTCAATCTGTGAATTTTCAGATTTGAGCAAGAATTTATAAACAGTCTGATGAGAAAACACACCAAAGTTGAAGAAAAATATTTCTGGACTGGTTTGCAGGATATTAGCCAATCAGGAATATATTCCTGGGGTACAGTGAATGGGGAAAAAACTGAAGCTGTGACATACTCTAACTGGAATTCCTTGCAACCAGGTAAGTTTGAAAATTAAAAAAATACATAAAAATACTATTTTTTTTGATTGAGCAAGCAATGGAGTACCATGTCACAGAACTCCAGGCATGAAATAAAATAGTAAATCACAAATATGTCAGGTTTTTTTGGGAAAACCAGCCAATGGTTTTAAATGTGTTTTTCGTGGCTTTTATCTTAGAGTTTTCAGGAGGATGTGTGGCCATGTCCAATGGAAATTCTCTTGGAAAGTGGGAAACTAAGGACTGTAAAACCACTAAAGCGTTTTCGATCTGCAAAAAATATATTGGGCAGCCCAAGGAGCCAGAAGTGCTACCAAAGCCAACTGATCCCTGTCCCCCTGGGTGGCACAATGGATCAGGCCTTGCCTGCTACAAGGTAAAATGTTATTCCTGTTTGATTTTAATTACTTGTTACTGTCTTGGAGCAAGTGTGTGATTATGTGGCGCATAGCTGCTCTGAAGTGTATCTTAAAGGTGTTTTACACCAGGAGGGGGAATTGGTTTTGATGCTACAGCATTTGCCCTGTGCTGCCGTCTCAGGAGCCTGTTGCTGTTGGAGGGTGCTGTACCCATATCATACCCTGCTGCCAACTTGCATGCGGAGACACCTGAATAGGGAAGGAAAGCACTTTGCATCACCTGCCCTTGTTCTTTTCCTTTCTGTACTCTTAACAGTGTAGACAGGAGAGATGGGATTTTCTCTGGTATGAGTGTGGATATAAAAAATGTGCAGCCTCAATTGCATTTTACTGTTTTTGAAGTGAACAGTGGAAATAAGCAGCTGAACTGTTAGCTGGAATGGCTTAAACAAGTTTGTATTTAGAAATGCAGGTTTTTTCCTCCTATTAACAGTGAAAGTTATTGCCTGAAGTTAAAACTGAGACTGTTCATTGGGTTGTTTATTCATTATTTCTGGACTCAGTGTCTGCAATGAACTGTCTCTTGTAAACAGCTCATGTAGCAAAGTGGGGAATCCCAGCTCGAATAACAAGGGTGTGGGCAAGCATCCCGAAGGGGTAGGTCTAGCTGATGTGCAGCATACCTGTCACATAGTTGATGGACATGACAGCTGGCCCTAGCAGATTCTCCAAAACTGTTGTTGACCAAATGCAGGATGTCTGTGCAGAGAGATCCAGCTGATGGGAATTGGCTTGGACTGAAACCAAGGGGATCAAGTGGAAATGTTAGCTGAGGGATATGAGCCAAAGTTGCAACTCTGATGCATACAGGTAGCAAAGGGTGTGCCAAAGAACTTCCTTCACCCGCAGCACCCAAGCGAGCACAGTTTCAGTGAACATTAGGCTTTGCAGTTCATGATAAATTTGAAAGAACAGCATCCCTTAAAACTTACACTTTGACTTACAGTTTTGGAATGACTTGGGTGGTGTTTTCTAAAATCTTTCTGGTAAAGAAAAACAGAGAAAGTCTGTCATATGGAATATATTGAGTTTGAAATAAATTTTGTCAGCTAAACTTCAGAGTGTGACTGTTGTCAAACAAACTGGAAAAAAAATTATTAAAAAGTGACGTTCTCTCCCTGTGGAAATACCGGTTATTAAATCTCAGGTGATCACATTTGAGTAGTACCAGGAATGTTTTAAAAACGCTGTCACTTGTGTCATTTTCTGCTCTGATGTTTGGCTGTTGTGAAGTTCTTCCACAGTGAAAGAGTGCTGCGAACCAGGACCTGGGAAGAGGCAGAAAGGTTCTGTGAAGCACTTGGAGGCCATCTGCCTAGTTTTAGTCACTCAGAAGAAGTCAAGGCACTTCATTCTATCCTGAGAAAAATGATAAGGTAACAAACTGGCTGTGCTTTAAAATTTTGATTTCCGTTACTTTCTACAGTAGATCGCAAATGCTGCTGCTGACCCCGAATGGCAAGTATGAGACAGTGTGCAGCAACTGTGTTTCCCACAGTAAAAACAGCTAGATGTGGCATTTGAACTGCCTTGCTGGAAAATGTCAAGGGAATACAGCTTGGGTAAATATTTCACATTGCTAGAGGCAGCACAAGAAAAGAGAAATTTATGTAATGGAAGATATTCAAAGCAAGTTAAGTCTCTTGTTATAATAAGTATTTCCTTCTTTATGTTGAATTTTGGCACAGCTAGATGGTAGTTGTACCTATTCTTTACTGGTACAATCTTAAGAGACAAATTATTATTCCAGTTTTGCAGCTACACCTCATTTTTATTCATGAAATATTTTATTCATGCTTCTTGACTAAACTGGGTGCTATCTTTTGAAAATATGCATAATGTAGTGTCCAGCAATCTGGTTGGCACAGATCCCTTTTGGCATAACTGCAATAACACTATATGGGCATTAGATGGGTGGGCTGAGTTTTCTGGTATCAACAAATTAAATGCTACATAATTTATGAGTTTAAACCTCTATTTTTAATCAAATGAACTGTCACTGCAAAGCTTTATTAGACATTGGTGTGATGTCAGATTCTTGTGTAATATGTTTTTTTTGATTGACAGCCTGGTTTTTTAGAACTTTTGCCAGCTTAAACTCAAATGCTGCCAGTTATGTGATCTAAATTTTTTCATCAACAAACTAAATCAGGATTATATCAGAAGCTGCCAGCACACAACACTGTGATTAAATTTTAAAACCTGATGACTGAAGAGAGTCCTTCTTGAAAAGACAGTGGACTTTTTTTAGAAGTGCAGAAGTCATGAAAATTACTCAGTGTTTTTGTTAAGAAGAGAAAAAACCAAACTCATATGCTCTATATATAGAGAGTTTTGCTTGTGTAAAAGCCACTTGTGATTCCTTTGCTAAATTGACTGAAGTCCCTGAAATAAAAATCAGAGCAGAAATTATTTATAGCTATATCTTATTAGACTCTTTTGCAATTACAGATTTTGTTTTAGTGTACCTAATCTACTGTGAAATGTGAATAGAGAAGTAACATTTTATTGTCCTACAAGTACTTGGAACTGCTTTTCAGCTTGCAGACCATCTGAGGTATTAATTATAGCTAATGACCACTTTTTTGTTAGGAGTTTAAAGATGGAGACTTCTGTCATTCCAGGAAGTCAGCTGATATACAATGCTCCTGCCCTTCCCATACTTCAGAAAACTTGAACTTAGTCTGAAAGAAGGAAAGTCCCAGTACTTCAATTTTATTTTACCAGAACTTAAGATAAGGGACAACATACAGAGCCCAATATAAATTGACTTTGCAGTCAGCATTGCAGTGACTACGCATGTCAAATATAACTGAAAACACAGTATTTTTGTCTGAGCTAACCCCTTTTTCAGGACTTCAGAACATTCTGAACTGGAATACTACATATTTGATATTGCCTGAAGTATTTTAAGTAATGTTTGTTTGTTTAGCTAATATAATTGCTGAAGATATTTATGCTTTTATATTACTCAGAGGTGGTGATTACATAGCATATTTTGGAGGTCAAGTGTCAAGGGTAGTGTGTCTGAAACTTAAGCTCATTTGAGAAAGGAGATAGGAAACCAAGTGAATTATTTTACCAAGAACAAATAACTTAGCTAACTGGGAGAAATCTTCCTAAGGTAATGTTAGATGTGATTAGCTTCTGGAGTGCACTGGCATGCAGTTTGTTCATATTCCCTGTATTTAGTCAGTGCAAACTCTGACCTTGAATATTCATTCAGTGCATTCATTTTGGCTTGGGGAAGGAGCCACACCTCTGCTCTTTTGGTTTTGGGTTTTTTCCCCTTGCACAGTTCTCTGGTGACTCATTGAGAATTATTTGTTTTTAAATGTTAGCAAGAGTCAGTTTGGTTCACCAGGAAAAGGGCAGCTTGCCTAGTCCATTCTGTTCTTTACTCAGATTCCACCTTAGAGGCAAACAAGAGCTAGAATTGCTCCAGCCAAGTCAGGCTATTGCCATTGGAAAGGAAAATGAACTTTGCCTGCCAACCTTCCCCTGTCTGGAAGAAATAGGAGAGAACCTCTTTTCACTTGAAGGGACATGATACAGGCAGAACAGATCTGGTTCAGTTACTTCCATTCTTTTAGAAGTGTGGTTTTGAGCATTCTGCAGCTTATAGCTGGCAGCAGCCCTGGACACAGGGAGGGTAATACCTTGGATTGGTTAGAAATAACATTTCAGTGAGGACACCTTACTAGAAAGAAATCAGTTGCCTTTTATATGAACAGTTCTGCTGCTGTAATTGTTCTGAATCAAGAAAGCCTCATGAATACTTGAGTTTGAAAGAAAAAACTGATCTTAACCTGCTGGCTAAAAGAGCGGTAAAGCTGAGATGCAGGCTGTAGTAATTGCATTAATTCAGCTTCTCTTCCACTCAAGAGTAGGTAATTAGCAGGATGTGATTTAGCTAGTGCAGTAGCCTGTTACAGGGGGAAGAACAGAGGTTTAGATGGGATTCATACATAGATTTAGGCCAGTGCTGCCTAAGATTAAATGGTGCCTTAAATTGCACCATTAATGAGTTGGCCCAGATGTACACATTACCTCACGTCAAGAACTAGATTGACTTACAAGTCCCAATAACTTCACTGAGGCTCCTAATCTTGTGTTGGAGCTGACATAAAGGACAGAAAAAATAATTTTTCTCTTTCAGCAGTTAGAATACAACTAGAAAAATTACTGGTTTATAGTCCCTTTACATCAGTCTACACAGTATTTATCCACTCCTGTAGAACATTGACTTTTATGAAGTTTTAGTTCTATGTGAGAGAAAAGCCACCAGTATTCTGCAGGGATTGCTGGAGATTTAGGATCTTTCATCGTTAATCAGTGTGGAGCCCATTGTAAAGCACAAATTGCACCTACTTTTTAGGTTAAAACACAGGATAATCTAGGTTTTAGAGACAATTCCAGGAGTGTAGCTCAAAGAATACTCTGGCAGTGATAAATCCATTTTGATACAAATCCGTAGGATGGATTTTAAATGCTTTGCAGTGAGAAGACAGATGCCTGAAGCACAAACAAATTCCGTGCTGCAAGCTTAGTTACAATAGAGAGTCTTAATTCGTATTTTTCTTAAATAGTTGCTGGAATTCTTTCCTGTGATGAGATGATAGTATAATTTCAGAGGAATATCAAAAGGCATAAAAGTACTGTCAGGTATAGTGTAGTAGTTGCTGAATTAGTCATGGTCATGTCTGAACAGTTCCAAAAGAAGCAAAATATGTACATTAATATGTAAGAGCCTAGTCAGCTGAAAATGTGGTTCTGTTTGCAGGCCAGTAATTGTAAAGTAGGAGAATAGCTAATTCTTGACCTGGCACACTTTTTTTTTTTTAATTCAAGTCTATTTATTACCTAAAAGCCAAATACAAGTTGACAGACTTTGAAAAATTGCTCTAGATTCTCAGGTAATTACTGCAAATTACTGCAAATCCTTTTGAAACAAGTTTCTCAAATGGCTGATGCTAAAGGGAACTCTACCAAATAAAATACTATTGCCCTTCTAGGATTACATGTACTTAGCCCACATACTCTGGGCTAAGGTTTTTCCTGGTGCTGCACCATCAGTATTTTCAGGCTATCTAGCATCTTTATGGTCATATGTGTAAAAAGCTAGTGGCACAGCCTTATCAAAGACTTTCTTAACATTGCCTTATGATTTCATAACATTGCGGGTAAGCCTGGGTCTGAGTCCATCCCTCCTTGTAATAAAGTCAGTTTCATAAACTTTCCAAGTTCTGACTTTAAATCTCCTTGTTAAGTTTGTCAGCACTACTTTTTTGGGAGCCTTTTCCAAACTCTGACCTCTGCTGGTCAGACATCTCTTTCCATTTTTGAGCCTAAATTTATTTCTGAGATGTGGTTCATTCAGACTTGATGTCCTTTTTGCTCAAATAGCTCCTCTTCTTGGGGGTTTAGTGTCCTAAAATATTAAAAAGAATAATTATATCCTTTTCCTGTCTTTCTTTGTAAAGGCTGGACAAGAAAATCTTTAATTCTTATTAATAGCCTGAACTCTAATTTCCTCAAATGTCCTGTGTTCCTTCTCTGTATTTGATACAATGTGAATTTATGGAATTAGTACTCCTGATACAGTTTTACAAGAGCCCTGTACTGTGGCATCAATACTTTACTATTGCTGTCAGACTACTTTGGTGAGAGTACCTGTTCCACAGCTCTTTTGCAGTAGGGTTTCATGTAGGGTGTGATTTCATAGAAAACTCATGGTCTTTCTCCTCTCTGCTGCTTCCATGTGATACTGTCATTCAGAGAAGTGTCTGTTGCCTTTCTTGGGCAGGGGAGAACATCTAATTAGAGTGAATTATCATAAACTTCAGTAACTAGCACAAAATCGATACTTTGAGAAGTTGCAATACAAGGCTAACCTTGCAGTTTGACTAGCACATTTAACTTTGTTGTAGAATCTTTAGATTCATAAGCAATAGCAAAGAGTATGGTAAAGGTTCTTACTGCAGATTTGAGTATATACATTGTAAACCCATTTTTTCAGGCAACTTAGTATCTTGGAGCACAGTTGAAATTTTGGATTTAAGTATCCCTTGCTTATGAAAAGTGAAGAAGTGAAATGTAGGAAAAAAGACAGTTCTGACTGGACTGTAATTTCTATTGCCACTCATTTATGCAACCATTGAAATTGGTGGTGTTAGGTGCTTATTTAAGTCTATACCACATTTATGAATGTGCATAATTGAAATAGGTGCCCATGTTTGGTGTGTTTATATCACTGACAAAGCTAAGGGAAATATGATGCCAGTTGTGCTTTGTGAGTAAAAGCTTTTGTGTGATTTGAGGAAGAGTATATTTGAGCTGGTGGTGGAGAGAGAGATGGCCTAAGATGGACAAGAGAAAGAGAAACAAGGCATATAAACACTCTGTGTGTGATTGTGGAAGAAAAGTGTAGAAAAGAGACCTTTACATCAAGTGACAACCGATGAAGTGGTGATTCAACCAACAAAGGAATTATCTGAGTTAGCTAGTTTTCTTCTGTACAGAAGAGGTCCTAGCCCTTATACCTCTTTTCTCTTTGAACTGCTACAACTTGCAGTAGTAAACCTTTGTTTCTGTGATCAACAGCTGGTTGATCATAAGTAATGCCATGACATAGGTCAATCTTTTTATTAAATGTGCTGAACCATATGCTTGGCGTAAGATTTTTGTCTTATTTGTTTACAGCAATGACAGATGGGTATGGATTGGAATGAATAAGAGGAGTCCAGATTCTTTAGGAACCTGGCAGTGGAGTGATGATAAACCCGTAAGTTAACTTTTAACCTGGAAACATGATGTCCTGATTTGTTTCAACTTGGGTTGAATCGAAAGTAAATTGATAAATATGGTAATTAGAATATGGCAAATCCTTCAGTACATTAATAATTCAGAAGAAGATTGTACACTTAAGAGCTATCATCCAGGCAGATTTCCAATTACAAACATATCTTTATAAGGTTAACCTGATTTCTGTCTCCATTATATTAAAATACTTAATATAGCAGTAGTTAATAGAAATATAGTAGTAAACATCTAAGAGCTGGTGGAGAGAACAAGGTGTCTTCTTGGCAGACAGAGGGGAAGGTTTATCAGTTCATCTCCTTGATATGTCAGACTTCTCCAAAAATATCTTCCTCAATGTAATTGTTTTGTTTGCCTGAAATTGTGAGTTCTTCCCTCCACACAATAACAGATATGGAGACTCAAAATTGATCGAGCGACTGCCATTCAACACATATTTTAATAGTAATAAACATAATGGGACCCCAGGTTTGAATGGTTTTCTCTTGGGTTTACCACAGCAAACATTGCTGATTCTTTCATCCTGTCCATCACCATGTAGGTAACTAGTGTTGTTATGCCACTCGAGTATCTGGAAGATGAATATGATACAAGAGACTGTGCTGCATTAAAGGTTAGTTTCAAGATTTTTAATAACAACATGCATATTTTTATTTGGAAGTACTTGCAAAAAATACTTTCTCCAGGCGTATATTGAATTTAGGTTGAGATGTTTTCTTAACATAGTGAAAAAGCTGCTAGTGTTCCCTTTATCAATCTACACCTGTTACTGATTATCCTTATTCAAATAGCTTTTTGTGAACCAAGCACTGTGCTAATGATAACTTTTCATAAGACTTCTTTTGAACCTTTTTAACTACAAAATATTTTAGTAACAATGCTGTTTGCTATTGCATAATGCCATACTATGTATCTCTAGTATATTAAACTCTTAGGGACGTATCATGGCATCTAAAACAAAAAAGCAGAGCCCTACCTGTAACTTTTTAAAATCTAAATTAGTTTTTCTGAACTGCAAATTAAGAAAAAGTTTGAAACCTGAAGTAGGGGAATGCAGTAGCCAGGATAGAGCATGTGTTTGTGTTTATTTTGCCTATTTCCTTGTTTACTGGTGAAATTGACTGTAAGTGCCATGTTGGTTTTTAATTTCAAATATCAGACTTCTGCTTAATCCCTAATTATGTTCTTTGTTACTTAATTTAGTCTTGATGGCATGAGATTTAAAATGGCCTTTAACTTTTCTGAAGCATCACCTGACTTTTTACAATATCATTCCAGTACCATCCCTTTTAATGTAATTAGAACCACCTCTGCTTTTAGGACTTAATAAAGGAAAGGATAATTGCATCCCTTTGCTTCTGTTCTCAGCCATTTCCCTCAGTCTCTTCTGCTGTGTTCATTACCCCAGACTTGAGAAGCTGGTTCAGCACTGAGCTCCTAAAAATTTTAAACTAAGGAGAGCGGTTTGAAGGGAATGCTGTGAATGTAGTAACTTCCCTCTCCTACCTGCTAGTTATAGACATGTTATTTCAGCAGATGATAAGAAATTCTCCTTACTGGAGACATCAGCAAGAGTGAAGTCAGTTCTTTAAGCTTGATTGTAAGAAATAATCTTAAATAAGAAAGATTATTTCTGTGCCAGTTTCAGCAGAAATGAGAATCATTTCAGGGGAACAAGTGGCAATAGATAATTTAATAACAAACATCTATGAGATCCTGTGTGCCACAGAAACCCTAAGAAATAATATTGCTAGAAAAGATTTGTATGTAACTGACCTTAAGCCTTTACCTAATTCCTTCATGTGGGGAGTTACAGTTGAAGTTACAGTTGTATCTGTTTATTTTTTGCAAAATATACTGTGGGACTAACAACACCATAAAATACACTGACTTTGGCAAAGTACTTTTTTAATACAGTGTAATTCTACATTTCAGAGGCCTATGCTGTGCTAACTCTGTTCTCTGTTTCTACTTTTATACAGACCTCCCAGTTTTCACGGAGGTCATTTTGGAGATTTTATTTCCATGAAGGCAGAGACCTGGAATTTTACTTCAGGCCTTTTGATTGTGAAGCTAAACTTGAATGGGTCTGCCAGATAACAAAAGGTAAACTGCAGTTACATCCATTTGTTCATATAAAGAGTTTATTACAACTGAGTTGTCAGTATTGCCCAATAATAGATGTTTCAGGGGATGAAGCTTTCTTGTTGTGGTGGGATACTGGTAGATACACTACTTAGATGCTTGTATTCTGCTTGAGAGATTAAAAAAACCCAGAGATGTTTAAGACAGAGGTATGCAATACTCCATTAAATTTACATCAGCTCATTTTAAACTATTAAACCTGTGTGTGATTTCCTTCTCCTTTTGTTTTTTCCATCATGAATACTGAGAAATATGAGTACTAACCATCCCTTCCGTTATTGGTGGCTGCAGTCTTGGTAGAAGGTGAACTCTAAGTGACTGTTCCTTTTTTCCTTTGGACAGGTAGCACTCCAAAGACACCTGAGTGGTATATACCAGGTAAATGGACTTCTTGTGTATTCTTCCACTATGGTTGTTTATACTCAATATCTTTTATTAGTGTTGTTACATTGCTGCTGCAATACCTGTTTGATATCAGGAAGGGTTATGATGGACAGAATTTGATTCTGAGAGAGTTTAGAATGCAGAGTGTTGACTCTGTCAAACTGAGATTTCTTACTACATTCAGAAAAGGATTAGTTTTTCAGAATTGATTTCTTTCACATGTGATATTTCTTCCGCGTAGATGAAATTGGAATTCATGGAGCCCCACTTATTGTTGATGGAGCAGAGCTGTGGTTTGTACCAGATAAGAATTTGAGCTACCAGGAAGCTATTTTCTACTGTCAAAAAAATGATAGTGATTTAGCCTCAGTGGAGTCTTACCCTAAACTCAGGGCAATACTGTCTCAAATAGAAAAGGTAAGGTGGTGTAATCTCTTTTAACAGTTACTTTACACTGTAGGGAAATTTTCTTGCCAGGTTTTCCGATATAACAAAACGTTAATCCCTAATTTCTTTCTTTTTCCTTTTGGCCTCTCAATTATACTGAAAGGGAAAAGATGAATTAAAAGAGAATTATTTTAATGGCAGCCTTGTAAAAAAACTTTTAAATAGAAAAGTAGACTTAAAAACATGAAAAAAAACGAACCCCTCCAAATGGATAAAAAGCGTCATAACAAGACCACTGTATAACCATCTCATTGTCTGCAAATATTTCATTAACAGTTGTGCCAGTTCTTAATTTTATGCACAGGACAAGACATAGTTTTTCACCTGGTGAGAAGATTTAATTATTAATGCATGATGGTCTGATAGGCTTTGCTGAAAGGGGTTTGTGGTATTCATAGCATGAAAGTACACCCTTCTAAGGAATCTTACAAAAATGTTTCAATACCTCTGTGACTAATTTTGTCATTGCTTTATCTTTAGTAGAGTCTGGAGCTCTGTCTCTGTGGGTTATAAAATGCTGGGGTTTGTTTTTTTTCCACAGTTATCAAACAGTGAACAGAAGTGGTGGCTGAAGTTTATTGATTATGGCTACAGCTATCATTCACCGTATGTAGAACAATTATAAGATGCTTTGTTGCAAACTTGGTGTGCTTTTCAAGAATACAGTTAACTAGAATAGTTGATTCAGAGTAATTTAATAATAACTGAATTAATAATCTATTTCTTTTGCCTCTATCAGAGCCTCTGGATTTTGGTTTTTTTTGGATTTTTAGAGACCTTAGTCTTGTCATGGGAATCCTTGAAATCTGTAGTCCTAGTAGCTAATGTATTCCCTTGATCTTTAAAATGCTTTTATTGGATTTTTAAATCCACTTCTATGTTCTGTTAATACTTGCAGAACTGACAAAACCAAAAAGCCCTGTCTGTTGACTTTGAAAACATGTGAGGAATACCTGAGAACACGGAATAGGAAATTGGTTTAAAACATCACTCTTTCAGTTAAGTCTTGGAGGGCTTTTAGTATAGTCCTGTAGAGTTGAGATGACTCACAGCAAGCCTTGCTTCATGCTCTTCATGGCTGCAGAGAAGATTCACTGGCGTCTTAGAAGGAAAGTCCTTCACTTTCCAAAATATTATAGGAATATACTACTGTGAAAAGAAAACCAGAGTTATTGCCCATTTCCCTCACTTGTCCTGACTATGTGCTCTGATTTCAGCATGGTGATAACTAACCTCACTCTGCACATCTCAACAAAGTTAATTTGAGCATGGTACATACCTACTGAACCTACCATGTATTTATTCCTAGTCTAGTTTTTGTAGGGCATCTAGAAACAGTTACCAGCCCAAATTTCTGTGTGCACTGACTCTGTTGCTATCAGAGTTTCCCCTTGAAGGTCACATTGGATTGGAGATTAACTCTAAAATATTTATATCCAGTTTACAGTTATTTCCACGCTTCCATGATAGATTCCTGAGAGAATGCTGGTATGTTTCTCAAAAGAACTGGTATAGAGGTAAGGCTGTTTTAATTTTTTTACCCCATCTGTCATTACTATATTTACTTTTTTTTTAAAAAGAAGTAATTACCATTCTGCCCAAATTCTTATATTGGATGCAAATGATATTGAATTAGGAGTGAATGGCTTCTTCATGATAATCTGATTGAATTTTGAATCATTTATTACCTCTTCATGGTAGAAGCCATGGGTAATATTTCTTGATGATCAGAGGCAAACCTGAATTCAGATGACAAATTTTGATGACTGATTGTCATTCTTTTTGCAACATACATTAATTAGGTAAAATCTCGATTTGGTGGCTACCTTTCTATGTTTATGCTAAGTATCCTGAGCTCTGGAATTTAAGTCTGAGAGTTGTGTTAGTTAAAGCAGGTTTGACTGCATGCCTGCAACCATATATACATCTGGAGGTGCAAATTTCATTAAGTAGTGGAGTCATACTGTAAGAGCTATACAAATTAATGGAGAAGCCAGCTGGTGGTACTTGAAGCTTATTTCCTTTTCCTTTATAACCTCTGGAGAAGATACTCCTCCTGTCTACTACCATTTTGACTTTAAATCACATTTTTCCCAACGTTCACATATATGCTGCTGAACTGTTTTCATCTCTATTAACCAAAAATTGCTCTTGAATAGGAAGTCAGTCCAGTTACTGTAGAAGTCATGTAAAGCAGTGCAGGCTTGATGCTCTCTATGTAGATGCTAAAGGATTCCTTTTGGCTTTAATGACATTTAGGTCACACCCTCTATACCAGAATATGAGATTAGTCCTCATATACAAAATCTTTTTTCATTATTTTTCTGTTTTCAAGTTTTCTCTGCTTATGTGAAGTGTTACTACTGGAAATAAGGGTCAGACTCTGGTTTTTTAGGAATTTTATATTACTGTCCAGTATAAATCATTTACCTTTGCCTTTTTCTCTACTGTTATTTTTAGTGCTTTAGATTACATAGTAGTTCACTGTGGTTGCACTGAAAAGGACTTCCCTTCAGATTGGTCTTTGTCATGTCATAAAGTATGGATGGGAATTGGAGTGTGATGTGTCATTACCGTAACTGCTTTTTAAAACTTCTATGTCTGCAGACTACCCAGTGAACTGTAACGTGAAACTACCCTTCATCTGTGAAAAAAATAATGCCTCCTTACTAGAGAAACATGATCCCAGTTACCACCCAGTCAGAGGAGGTTGCCCTAAAGGCTGGCATCAGTTCCGGAATAAGGTACAGTGATAATCCAGATTCATCACCCTTACCTGTTTTTCGTTTCCGGTTAGATGGAATGCTCTTGTGAAAGAAATGAGGAGGTAGCCCCTGTGTTGAGGAATGAAGTAGGCTTTTGAAAACTCTGAAACCTATGTGTAGTGATTAAAATAATCTCCCTCACTTCTCTCTTATTCAGGATTGCTGGTTTCTTAATTTAAAAGCATTCATTTTCGGCTTTTTTTGCTTTCCCATCACCACATGTTTAGGTCCAAGAACATTTATTGTGTTGTGTTGTCTAATCTTGAGCTCTGCTTGAATGAAGAGAAGGATTAGAAAAGGGAGAGGATGAGGTTTCTGTGGCAGAAGCATCTTGATTCTCTTGCTGAGTAATCGTAGGCAGGCGGCAAGCTGGCGGACAGTTTCTTAACTTGCCTTAAGGACTTAACTCACTTAAGAATTTGAAGCAGCTTTTAAGAATTAACCAACAGATCAGAAGCCATAATATAGTCTGTTTCAGTAGTATGTTTTAGGCAGTCATCTAAAGTCTTAGTCTTAGTGAGACTCATTCCTGTTGTTTGGTCCACCATTATTCTGCATATGTCCATCAGATCTGCACATTATGTGGTGCTAAGGTTTGCAAATTTACTTCATGTCATTGCATAATAACGCTTTTGAGTTCCCATGTAGTTTTCCCCAAAACATAATTACAATACAAGGCATTACAATACAGGTTCCTGTCCCAACACTAAACGACTGTAGAGTTCATGTGTTCTCTTTCCTAAAGCAGTACATGATTCTGATGTAGCCAATAAAAATTATTGAATTCTAATCCTCAGTGAATGAGGAGTTAGTCAATGGGATCATTTTATATTTAGCTATCCTGCTGAATCTAATAAATGCTTGCAGCTAGTATCAAGTTCCTTGCTTCCTGCAAAAAAATAATTATATGTTGTTGCAGGAAATGAGAAGTGGGTTTTTAAAAAGGGTTGGTTTAAGAACCTTTTCATATTGAGTTAATTTTTAAGCAGACTGGTAGGATGAAAATCAGTTTCATTATGTTTGTTTTGCAGTGTTTCCAGAAGATGAACCCTGAATATTTAACATTTAATGCAGCTAATGAAAAGTGTGTAACTTTTGGAGGCTCTCTTCCATCTATCTCAGATCAAACTGAGCAAGGTACGATGGTGAACTGGGGGCACTTTTAATATGCAGCTTCACTTCTAAATTCAGAATAGTTCTGCTTAAGAACTTGAACATGAAATCATTTGGTTATCTACAGGCATACTGGGAACATTCTAAAAATCCAGGACCAGTTAAAAATGTGTGGTCTGTTGTTTGCATCACTGGAAACATAACATGGAAATGCAGTCTGCAGATGTTTGAGCCAGGTTGAAGAGCAGCTTCTCTATATGATCTTGACTTGCTATAACAAGAAAAAAAATTGTAAAACTGTGCATTAAGAGTTGAATATAGACGGGTCATCACTGAATGAAGAATTCCCATGTTTTGCTTTGCAAGTTAAAACATAATTGAGACTTTGCTTCTGTGAAAACTACCTTGGGAGCTGCTTCCAAGTCAAGCTCAGCTGTCTGTGCTGGAACAAGGTGGCAAACACAATGCCTGCTGGACCACATAGGACCCTCTGTGTCTGTGCGTGCCACGCAGCTTAATATGGCAGTGTGTCCAAACTGACCACCTGCAGGCTCTCCAGGGTGGTCCATCCATGGGAGGATGGAAGGCAGGAGGACTGCAAAACACAGAACTGTTCCACCTCTCTGCTGTCTTGCCAGCTAGAGTCAATGAGGGGAATGCAGTGAGAAAGAAATGGGTACACATTGGCTGCACATAATGTTCAGCAATAAATCACTGAATGATACAGCTGAATTTGCAACTATATTCTTGTGGGTAACTAAGAGTTCTCTGGGGGTATAGCTGAAGTAGCTCGGTTGAATTCTGCAATGTCCACAGGACATATTTTCTTTATAAGCCAATAACCTCTTGCCAAACAAAATACCATTAGTAGACTAGAGAGGTCACTAGTGTACCTGCAGGCAGCAACTGAATGGTAATTTTTTTTAACTTCTGCTTTTGGGGAGGAATAGGGTCATATACAGGAACATACATGTCTGAGGCCTGCATGTTTTTGGATGCTTTTAAGATTGCAAAACTATAGCCATTCTGCAATGTTACATAGCAGGATCTTCTGTGTGATTTGGTGCATATGAAAGTGCTTGTTATTGTTTCTTGTTTGTTTTTCTTTCCCCCTTGTAGTGGAGGTCACCTATATGGAAAGAAGACACAGTCTTTTAAAGAAGTATGTCTCTTTCTGTAGGCTGCCTCTACGCTTCCCAGTGGCATTAGGTCGCTGACATAATCAGCACAGCCAGGCATTAGCTCTGACATAGTCTGGCATGTGGCCAATGGTTAAAACATGTCAGCAGTAGCTAATTACATAGCTTCAGTTTGTCTTCCTAATCTAGTCAAGATTAGTGAATGCCTTTGGTGCCTGCTGGGTTACCAAAGCCCATTGTTTCTTGCCAGAATGCTCATTAAGAGGGATCTGATTTAAGGTTTGCCTAGCTGAATTTTTTCCAACTAAACCTGACTTCTTTTGTCTTGTCCTGCTTTCTGTGATGGTGGGGTGGAAAAACTCTGCCAGAATCTTAAAACTGTTCTGATTTATAGTATATGGAGAGAAAGATGGGAGATAAGACTTCATCAATTCAGAGAGGGCAGGAGGGAGCTCTTCTATTATGTCTGTAGGGAGACAGTAGAAGATCTTGCAGACTTGCGGAAATGCAGCTTTTGAAATTTAGATGTAAGTGCAAGAATACAAAGTAGTGGGCAGAGAAACAGGTTAAATCTGCTTCTCAGCTCAGAAATTGAAGGACAAATGCCAGTAGCCTGCTCCTTGCAGATAAAATCAGTATGAAAGGTGTTACCATATGGAAGTAAGGGATGGTAAGCATTTGGCAATCATGAAGGGTTGGGAAAATTAATACGAGCAGGTGTTGCATTATCTTACTTATGTGAACTGTTTTTTCAGATGTTTGCTGTTGTTTTCTGAACCACAATATGTACATTTACTGTTCTGCCCAACAGATTATATAACATCCTTGCTTCCTGGTATGCCAAAAGATATTTGGATTGGTTTACAGTTTCTGTTCAGCACAAGAGAAAACAAATGGATAGATGAGAGCAGACTGATGTATAGTAATTTTCACCCACTCCTGACTGGAAGATTAAGGAAAATTCCACTGGATGTAAGTTCTGGCTTTTGACTTCTCTTGCCTATTGAGAACTGTATCCAAAAAAAAAAAAGGCATTGGAATTGTATACTTAAAAAAAATCAACAAAACCCAACCCAAAAAAACATGTAACAGGCAAAATCCCCTAGTTAGTCATTTTAATTGGCCAACAAGATGACTGACAGTAATGGAGTTCTGTTTACCTTTATTTGGATGACAACTTCTGAAGTGTATTTAACTTAGGAAATCTTTCTAAGTCCAGGCACCTGGTAGTGTTTGTAAAACAGGTAAGCTGTATTGCACCACTCCTTTGAAACTTCTTAAACAAGTTCAGACAGCTGGGGTTCTCCTAACCTCATGTTACTTCATCTCTACACAAGTATGTTTATGCCTTATTTAGACTGATAAGGGTATTTCTCTCTCTCAGCTTTTTGATGAAGAATTTAACAATCAGTGCGGTGTAATCCTCAATGATCCCAAATCACAGTATGCTGGAACATGGAATTTCACTGCTTGTGCTGACAGGCACTTCTTGGGTATATGCCAACGTCCTATAGGTAAGTCTGAAGAGTCAAAATAAATTACAACCAGAGTTTTCACTTAAAGTGCATGTGCCAGGAGACTTTTTAATGCATGTAAATTATTTCACTTGAAGAGCAAGATTCTTGTAGAGACTGAGCAGATAAATTTAGGAAAAGCAGAGTGTGGAGGATGATCTGGAACCTATTTTGTCAGACATTCAGAATTTTCCCTATGGTTTTTTATAGCCCAGTTCAGATGGAATCTGTTTTCCTGAGAGACTGTGGTTTCAGGGGAATCGTACTTCAGCAGATGGGTATAGAGGTGATGTACATCAAGGGGTGGAACAAGGGACTCCGTTTTCCTTTTCAGAACTGGGGAAGTGAGAAGCCCCGGGAAGGAATCTCACAATATTTCTATCTTCCTTAAACATATCCTATGTTTCTTAGTACTTTCAGAATATAAAGTATCACAGACTCTTAAAGTTGAAATTGGTCTCTCCAGAGCAAACTTGAGGGCTTACATGGAGAGTGATGATTTGGAGTGATGCAGCTTTCCCTAGCTTCATACAGATCCATTGGTGTGAGTAGGATTTCTTAATCTGAACTAAAAATAATATTCAGATGTACCCACGTGGGTTGGCCAATGCCAAATACTGGAATAAGATCAAACACATTTAGTTATTATATGCATTTAATTACTGCTATGGGCTAATGTTCAGCACACCCACTTCTGAGTAAGTTCCTTTATATAAATAATCCTTTTAAGTAAAGAGCATGCTATCTTCTAAAAAAAAGAAAAAACAAACAAAAAAAACCCCTAGGTGTATAAAACACCCAAGAATATGCCCACCTTCATTCTCAAATACGCAGAGATTTCCACCTCCCACCCCTCCACCTCCATTTAACATATAAAATCTTCTTTACTTCAGTGCCAAATACTTCAGAAATTTCAGATATTGAGATTAGAAGTCTGGATGGAAGAGATGTAAAAATTTGAAAAGGAGATTTTTATGAATAGGGGGTTGACAGTGTGTCTGTTTATATCAATATCTTATTAGTCTGGGATGACTAAATACTAAGTGCTTCTTTACCACAGCTGTAGAGGATGTAATGAGAAAGGTTTTTAGACTGACAGAATGTGTCCTGTATTGTTTGGTCTTATATCATCATTGTGTTAGGGATCTAAGGATAACTTGGGTTGGAAGGGACCTCAGCAGGTTGCAGCAACAGTTGTGAGAGAGTCCAGGTTGCCTAGGGCTTTATCCTAGGGAAAAGAACAATTCATGCTTATTGGAAATCTTAGCATGATTGTGATTTGCAGAATTTTTTGAGACTGTAATCACCAGCAATAATTTTTTCAGAAATGAACATTTTACTTACTGCCTTGTTTCCAATTTGGCACCCTTTGATGAGTGATGGCACCCTGGGTTCCATGGTTATCTTCTGTAGCTGTTTACTAAATGAAAGCATTTGGCAACAGACACAAACCACTTGAAACAATCTGTTTCAGCCTTGTCACTCTTCTGCTCTATTGAAACCTGTAAATATCAAATTAATATTGTGTTTCTATGATCTTATGGTTTGGAAAATGGCCCTGTCAGCCTATCAATCAACATTTATATCCTGTTATTTATGAAGTGATTCTCCTTCCTCCCTTATGAGCCTTTTCCTGCTTGAGATATTTTAAATATTAGGGGTTTCTGCCTTTTGGAGAGCAAATTTGTTTTTGGTTGTGTATAAAATTTTTGGGGTTACCATTTGTATGCTTTAACTTACCATCCACGGGAATATTTGTATCTTTTATTAACTCCAGTTGTCATGCATTGCTGAGCTGTATGCTGTCAGGTATGATGCTGATAACTGTGGTAACACTCAGTGCTTGGAGCACAAGTAGTGAATTGTATGCCTCCCTATGCAAGGTGGATTTTCTACAATTAGTTAAGCACACGTGGAGGCAAAATCAGTTCTCACTATACTCATGGATGGCAGTAAGGAATTCTGGGACTGTGTGGTACCAGTATCTGCATAGACAAGTTTTGGGGTCCATTAGATTTGCATAAGCCACAGGCTCCACAGAGGTAAATGAGTCAAGTTTAGCTGTTGCTGTGTTACAGCAGAGAGCAGTCGCCTTCTCCTATTTGTGTATAATTAAAGTTGTATAATATGTTTTTAATTCAATATATTATTTAGCAGTTAGTTAAAACTGTCAGATATAAATATATGTGAACCAAATTTGAGAAAAAAGATACTTTAAACTACATTGAATGAAAATAATACTTATTTTTAAATATGTAATTTTCTGTCTAAAGTGTCAAAGATACTTTGCTTCTAACTATAATTATAGCATAATCTACTGTCTAAGATTTTTTTTCCAGGTGTTATTCAGAAAGATTTTTCTGATTGTTACAGAGACATTGGGAGTTAAATATGTATTACAGTGTTTAACTACCTAATTACTGGATTTCTCTTTTAGGTATAGGAACTTCTGATAACCAGACAGAGCAAGTCATTAATGAAACATTGAGCTATCAAGATGTTCAATACATGGTAATTCTGAAGAATTTGTCCTGGAATGATGCAGTGGCTGCATGCATAAATAACAAGATGCAGCTGGTTAGCATCACAGATCAGTTCCAGCAGGCTTTTCTTGCTGTTCAGGCGGCCCTTCATAATTACCCACTCTGGATCGGACTCTTCAGCAGAGATGTAAGTTTTGGTTTTCCCTCAGACTATGGCTTAAGGTAATTTTGAGACTTGTGTGAAACAGAACCTGAGTTAAAGAAATGCAGTGAAAAATTAGTTTCTAGGGTAACTGTTTTCATTTAGGGATAAGCATCTGGAGTGTCTCAAAATTAATGTTTTAAACCCTCAGTTCTCCAAGTTACATAGTTCTTGAATTCCACTGGATGAATTGATGATAATGATGATGAGAAAATTCTTTTAAAGGACTACTGATGTAGGGATATATTGTAGGGTGGCAGCAACATAGGTTGCTGAATCATCTTTGTCTCTTTTGTAAACAAACAAGTAATTAGTGTTGCCATTTAATATCATTGCCACTGTTTACAGTACCTCTCTAGAAAGATGACCCAAAATCTGTTTTGGAAGGGAGAAACTAGAAGTGGCAAATAAAATCCAAAGTGAATCATTGAACACTTCTGGAGATACATTTCTGAAGCTTAATGTAGATTCTGTTGTTACTTCATGATATTTGTGTCTGTGTTTTAAGTTTGAGGGAGACATCCCTGAAGACAGGTCAGTGGGTTTTTCTTTTTCCTTCTGTTTGTTCTGTCAAAAGAATTTGAAAAAATACAGGAGGTGCTGTTTTCTGCTCTTATTAGCTGGAGGACCTCTTGAAAATCTTTATTGTGGATTAAGAGCTGTCTCAAGTGTTAATGAAATGCTTTGGGCTTGCTTGCAGGGTTTGTCTTTTCATCAAGCACATGAGTCTGGAGATAATTGCAAGAAAAAAGTTAGAATTTTTTTAGAAGTGACTTATACAGAGTTTGGTGGTGTTCACTCAGCGTCTGTGGTGTTATGTTTTTCCAATGTCCATAATGGACTACTGAGTACTCTAGCAAAGTAGGGGGAAAACATAAAAATTTGAGTGTGTACTTTATGGAGAGTATTTTTAAATTTTTAAAGGAAACAACCATTTAATCTTTGTGAAGAGGCGGAAACTAGACAACCTACTTTCCCTCCTCTTTTGATTTTTTCATCTGTAAGTGTAGATCAAATGATTCATTTTGGGGCATACAGTACAGGCATGCACTGGCTTTTCGCTATTGCAACACTTCATTATTTGGGCACAATTAAAAAATCACATGAAAGGACATTATAATGAAACTGGTCAACAGAAGTTGTTACTCCGGTGCTGGAATCATAGACACAAAAGAAAGATACAAGATAAGTTAAATAACAAAGCAACAGGGGGATTTCCAGAAGATGACTTTCAAATGTAAGATTTTTAAAGGATGACATGCTGCTTGTATGTGGTTTTTTTTCTTATTCCTCTTACATCCTCCAGGGCAGGAACGCAGCATCTGATGCATTAAATAAATTAAGTATTTAATAGATTACTTTCAGCTCAGTATGGAGTAACTGAGACAGGACCTTATTCTCAGTTATTAACAGTTTTCCAAGACCAGGTAATTATATCCACCATTGATTTGTAGATGGCAAATGATACAATTTGGACATCTCAGTGCTAGGCCTTCTTCCATAAACACAGTGGTTACACATCACCACTGGATAATTTGCCATCCACTTCAGCTAATTCACATATTTTGAACTGCAAAACTTAAAATAATGAAACTTGTTACATTGTGAGTAGCAGATCAGATCATGAGGGCAATGGAACACTTATAGTTCTCACCAGAGACACTGTAAATGTTTAGCCAGTGTAAATATATTATCATGTCATTTTCTGTACCTCATATTTTTTACTATGTAAGCTCATCCCTGTTACTTAAACACTGCTAGGGTGGAAAGCATTATGGCTGGCTGGATGGGAAACATGTTAGTTTTAGTCGCTGGTCTGAAGATGATGAAGAAACAAACGAAGAATGTGTGTTTTTGGATACTGATGGCTTCTGGAAAAGTTCTGACTGTTCCTCTGAAAATCGAGGTGCTATTTGCTACGCATCAGAAAGTATGTATACTAGCAAAATATTTATAAAGCTGAGTTTTGTTTTATTGTGAAACATATTTGATGATTCCAGCTCATAACTTCAAAATTACAACTTTTTAAAAATTACAGTTTGTCAGGCTGATTTGCATGCCAGGAAAAAAAGAAATCAGCTTCAAAAGGGGGGTGTGCAATTGTTGGTCTTAATCCACTTGTTCCTTAGAAATAAATTCAACATGGATACATTAGGTCAAACTGCCCTTTTTGTCAACTGATTGTACCTTTGCACTGCTTCCCTAAGATTGTTGCATACTAATCTCTCCCACTTGCATGTAGAGGAAGATTCAGCTACCTCTGTACTATTTACATCTTAATATTGGGACCTCCTGTAATTCAGACATGGAAGTCTGTACAGGGAAGAGGGTGCATGAATATATGGAGAATAAAGCTAGGAGATAGACACTGAATTGAAAGGTGTAAATTAAAGTTATCTGCAGTTCACAAAACCCATCTAAATACCTACTAATTATAACAAGAAAGATAGGGATATAGCAGGACATGTTTTTTTTTATTTTCAGGAGAGTGCTTGCTAGTTATGTATCCTTCAGAAAACAATCATTCTGAGAGATCATCACAGATAGCTTCCCTATGTGACCATTATAATTAGGGGGGTTTTGGTTTTTTTCTGTGAAGGGACAGAGCTAAGCCATTGTACATCCTGAGTCAGAGTCAAGTGTGGCATTACGACATGGTTAAATGTTTTTTTCTTGCAGTCTAGGCAACTGCAGGAAGAGTTCTTCTTACTCCTCAAGTGTTAGCTAAAGCCAGAGAACTAAGATGTGTTGCTAGCTATGAAGTAGATTATTTGTTATGGTGATCTGTCTTGCAAAAGAGGCAGTAAGAGCTTTTAGTTATTGACCCACACTTAGCACTTTTATGTACGGATTTTATTCTTAAACCTATTTAACATAATAATTTTGAAAATTTGTAAGCAACTGTATTCTTTAGTAGAGCTGGTTTTGCTGCTTTAAAAAAATCGTCATCATGAGGAAACTGAAAGCAACGATGCGTCACACATTTAGAGGATGGCACTTAATTTGTCTTACATGTTTTTAAATAGTACCTGAAATTGGTTTGTGGTGTCAGATTAGATGGTGTTAATAGTAAGTCATGTTCTGAATGTCATCTTTTCTTTCTTCAGAGAAGACTGAAAAAGAACAAGTTACACAAGTGAAGTGCCCACATAAGATTAAAAATACACCCTGGATATCATTTAGAAACAATTGTTACACTTTTATGATAACAAAAAATAGATGGAGAGAACTGAAGTCTCAAGAAGCTCATCATTTATGCAGGAAAATGAGTAAGTACTTTGTCATATTGCAGGTATTTATGGATTTAGCTTGAGGGAGATGAGTTTTAGACCTGAGTCACTGTCTTAAAATGACAGACAGCAAAGTGAGAGTTGAGAAAGGTTCTGGCATTTGGAAATATGCATGTGTTGGACTCCTTGATGCTGTTTGCTTTTGCACTGCTCTGATAAAAAGTGCCAGAGCATGGGTAGGAGAGTTGGAGAGGAAGAGAGATGGCTAGGAACTACTGAACTCTGAGATCTCTGAAAAATTGGAAGGCTTGTTTTTGTGTTTGGTTGGTTTGGTTTTTTTCTCTATAATATGCCAATTTCAAATAGGTTGCCTAATTGTTATCCTCTTGGCAACATTCTGGCTTTACAGTCACATTTAGTTCATGGTTTCCCTCCGTTTTGTGGAACACTTAGGTGAACAAAGTAAATAGACTGAGAATAGTCCAATTCAGAAAAGCACACAGACTTTTTCTGTTCATCCTAAATAAAGTGTAAGCTTAGGAACAACATCCCTCTTATATTAAATCTTCAGACGTGCATCTTTCCAAAAATTAGTTTTATTTTTTGTGAATTGATTTCAATTCAGTCTTAATACTGTTTGTCTGCTAGCGAAGTTCATGCAAATCATGAAAGATTGCTGATATTTTTATGTTCTATACAGAAAATTTTTACTACAGAGTCACTGCATATGCTGAGTTGGAAGTGACAGTAGGACCCAGAGATATCTCTGGAGCTGATACATTTCACTTATCCACAAAATCAGGGGAAGCACTGTTGATAATACATTTGAAAATTTTTTTTGCACTGTTCATTTATGTTATAAAGATCTGACCTTTGCACACTATTGAGCTATCTGTAATAAGTATTACCAGTAATAGAAAAGAATACATACTTTGAAACTGAAATGTGAATTTGTAAGAAAGTAACGTAAAAAAATTTTCAACAGACCCAGAATCATTTGTTCTGAGTGTTCGAGATGAAGAAGAGAATAACTTTGTTACTGAGCAGCTTCATTCATTCAGCGGTCTGGCTCTGTGGGTCTGGCTGGGTGTGATTTATGATGACAGTGGTAAGATTTAAGGGGTTTCTTTTTCTTAATAACTAGATTGGAGACAAAGTTTTCAGCATTAAGTGCATGGGTTTTGCATGTTTTAGTTTATAACTGAAGTCAAACTGAATGCAAACCTATAATGCTTTATATTTGTAATTATCTTCTAGAAAGAAATAATTGGACATGCTCTCTGTTTCAGTGATAATTAGATCCAATATGTTCTTTAGTCCAGATTTGATTTCCTTGTAAAGCAGGACTTAAAATGGCCAGGATGAGTGATGCTAACCTATTTAGCATTAGATATGGAACTGATTTAGAGTAACTTCCAGTATCCCAGCATTTTTTTCCAAAGTGAATATCTGTTAATGTCCTTAATATATTCAGAGTTAAATGGTATTTGTAGACATAATGCCAGTGTTTTAATAAATATGCAATGTTTTCCACAGATAAAGTTCTCAAGTGGTATGATGAAACTCATCTGACTTACAATAACTGGAGGCTGGGAAGACCTATCATAAAGAAGAACAGTTTTTTTGCTGGTGTAAACCTTGATGGTTTTTGGGATATTTATAATTATTCTCAAAGTTGGCATGCCAATCACTATAACATGTACAGTATTCTTGCCTGTAAAATCGAAATGGGTAAGTAGCATTGGAGTGTTGGATGAGGGTCATAATTTAAATCCTGGTTCCTGCTATATAAGGCCTTGGTTTTGCTCCTAGTGAAACACATGGCACAGCTGTCATGGGCATCTGGGGGTCATGTGGTCATTCTGTTCATCACTGCTGTAATACTCTGATCAGGAGGAATGTGTTTGCTGTGCTCGTCTGGCAACTACTCAGTGTTCAAAGTAGCAAAAGTGAACTTACTTGATATTGCCTTATACTGAACACTTTAATGCTTGAGTTACATTGATATAGATGAATTTTAATGCTTTCTGTATCTTCCTAATAACACAAACAAATGCACCTTGTTGTCTTCTTATTCTTTGAAACAGGACCCCAGCAGCACAAACCTCCATTACCCGAGTCTATTCCACATGGAAACAGAACATACAGGATCCTTCAGAAAAAATTAACATGGTATGAGGCATTGAGAGCATGCAAACAAAATAAGAGTGATTTAGCAAGTGTACACAGTGAATCACAACAGTTATTTCTAGAAGATATTGTCAAACAGGATGGTTATCCTCTGTGGCTTGGATTGTCAGTTCATGATGTAAGTAAATACTGTTGGTGACGTCTGTAACAGAACTTGTAAATAATATTTTTGACAAGATATGAAATATTTTCTGATGCTTCTTTGCAGTTTCTAGATTCTCTCTTTCATGCAGTGCACTACCTCCTTTTTCAACCCTGTGTAATTTACGTTAATATTAAATGTTAGTGAATGTAGCCACACTGAGATATTTCTTCCAAATCCTTGACGCTTTAAAATAATACAGTGGTCCCACATCATTCCTTGCAGCACAAGGATGTGTGATTTGCAGTGCTACCTTTAGAGGCTTCAGACTTTATGGTGCTCTGTAGAATCAGATTCCATCAGCGAATACAGAGAGACAAGGCTGTGTGGAACTTGCTTAGTCCAGGTCAGGACTGGCTCTCCAAAGCAGTTCAGGACCTGGCTCTTGAGCAGGTTATGTGTCCCTTCTCCCAGGAGGCTTAGCAAGAGGCAGCTGCAGATCTTTTTCCTCCTCTGACTGCTTTACTGTGGACCCAAAAGCCTGTGGTGCTGACCCTACTCCCCTCACTAATTGCCAGACCTGGCCATAGTTAGTTGGCAGGAATACCCCTCTGCAGAGGTGTGTGATTTCTGTGTGCACCTCTTCTACCTCTGGTGTCCTGTGACCTGAACAGCTCCCTCCACAACTGACTCCTCACTGTCACGGGTTTCCAGGAATGTATCTGAAGTAGGAGCTAGTACTGAAAACCATTCCTCAGCTGCCCAGCTTTATTCACTGAGGTCATCTCGACAGTTTGACAGTTTGCAACATATCCAGTAAACGTTCATAGCAGGGAAGGCAGACTGTTTAAATGAAACAGTGGGATGGAATTAAGTGACATGTTCTCCTTAGAATAAAACAGACACATTGCAGGTTTAAACTTGCAAACATGCTGTACTTTCTCATTTCCCACAAATAATCGGGATTTCTGTGTTAAGAATTGATTGGAAAATGCAAACTATGTTGTACATTTATTTACTATAGATTTAGATGAGATCCCCTCACTTTAATTTACCCCCATACAAGGGACAAATATTGCTACATGGCTTAACTCATGACTGATAAGATTTAAACCACAACCGTATGTGGTTTAAAAGTTGTGGTCTTTTCTTTAATAAGTTGTGGATTTTTTCTTTAATTAGGGAAGTAAAGCTAATTTTGAATGGTCAGATGGAAGTGACTTCGACTACTATCCTTGGGAATTAGAAAACTCAAATACTACTGAGAATTGTGTTCTGTTGGATACTAAAGGAGCTTGGAACCGGACAAAATGTACAAATGTTGCTGAAGGTGCCATTTGTTATAGCCCTCCAAACAGTAAGTGTTATTAAGGTTTTGTGTAGTTGTCTTTTGTCTCTATATGTTGTATTCAGAAGTAGAAATGAAGGTTGAAATACTACATATGATTCCCTCTTTTAAGAAGAGTTTTCTGTCAGGGATGATAAAACACTTTTTAGTACTTCAGGGAGATTAATTCTCTCCATTCCAGTGGTGAAAACCTAAAACAAACCTGGTTAGTTTTTAATCACCTGTGATATGAATATGAAATGTATGTATCTTTTCTGAACCCAAGTACTTATCAAATATGTACAACAAACTTCAAAACCCACTAAAAAACAAGAAAAAATTTTTCCCAAGCCTTTGGGATTTTGTCTTACGCTCCTTTTCAAGCAAATTTATCTGTGACACATGAAGAAGGAATGTAAGCTAATTGAATAGTGGTTCTTGGTAGGAGTAGTAGTCCTTGTTAGTACTTACTGTCCTGTTACTCCAGCGAGACTGCACGCAAACGGCTGCAGCAGAAATAACATCAAGTTTCTTTGTCTTTGCAGAGAGGCAATTCCAGCCAGAGCAAGCGAGCAGAGCCTCAGGATGCCCGCAGAGCAGTGGTGCCCTACAGTGGGTACAGTACAAGGATCACTGTTACGCCTTTGACATGGCATTCTACAATTTTTCAGTATATAATATGGAAGAGGCTAAGAAAGTCTGCCAGAAGCTGAGTATGTTTAGATTCTTTATCACATTACAACTTGTAATTAGTCCACTATTTGAGAAGAAATAAAACCCAACAACCAAAAAACCTATGCTGATTATACTTCAACTTTGCCATTTTTATTCTTCTTTAGTTTAGGAAAAGCAATAGCAAACTTTATCTTTGAATATCTGATGAAAATTCTTCATAAAATGCTGCATTGTGCTGACAGATTCTTTGGCACACAGGTATCTGCAAGTAAAATTCAGGTAGCAAGTTGCAGAAGATCATAAATTTAAGTCTTACAGTTTGGAGGAAAACACTTTGTCTGTATACAGTGTTAGTGCTGTTGGTAGTGCTTTCTTGTTATATATCTTCGCAGTAGAGAGCCTGCTAACTTTTCAGATGGTTCAAAGCATGTACTTTATAGATATTAAGGCACATAATATCACTAAAAAACAATTTTTAGTCAAATTAAAGGATTTTATCTCTTCTTTGCTGAGCTGCATGGGCAATTGTATTGCAGAGGTGCCATTAAGCAGTTTCATTTACAGAAGTTTTAATCACCTTAACTGAGAGGTTAGTGACTGTCATAACTTTCTTTTATGGAATTACAGTGTGAAGTTGAACTCACTATTTAGGATGAAAAAGAACCAGTCCTGGATAGTTTTCTGTTGAGTCCGACTTGGTCTGATAGTTGAAAGTGAACTTTCTCTAAATTAAGCTTCTGGCATGTAAAGAATGGGTACTCTCTGAGCATGTCTATAGTATACTCTTTCCTCCCTCTTAGTCCTTAATTACTGTAACACGGTATATAAGAACCTGAGACACAATGAGAGCATTAATTTAGAAATTAACTTGACTCAGCAAAATGCTGAACTTTTGTTCAAGTATATTTTTGAAAAGGGCTTATTACTTGGACAAGGCTAGTAATTTTCAGTGGGCATATCTTTTGATACCTTCCATGTATGTAGTCTGCAACTGCTGTAAGTTTACTCCCATTTTATTTTTTTATAACCTACTAGAATAATCAGTCATCTGAAGCCATTTTTTATAACATGCTGTATTTTAGGGGATGAGAGGTTCATGTCTTTATTCTGAAGGTTACTTCAAGCTTATATTAAAAGCCCAGATCAGCAGATCTTTTCCCACAGTAATTATTCCCACAGAAAACTCAATGTACAAGCACCATGAAAAATCTTTTAAGTTGCAATTCTGACTGGTTTCCTCTGCCACTTAGGTCCTTCAGCCACCCTTCTGACTATAGTTGATGCTGAGGAAAATGCATTTGTGAGCAAACACGTAAAGGAACATGATCTCATCACCAAGAATGTATGGCTTGGCCTGGCTCAGAGCTCTAAGGGTAAGAAGTAGCAACTATGTGTGAGCATTAATGTTTCACGTGGTAAATGAAAATGCATAAATCCTCAACTAAGAATAGTTTCATAGTGTTGGTAGCCTACAGTAACTTCTGCTTGAGGTTGGAATCCCTTATTTAGCATTATAAAGCCCTTTGGACTTCATTGTAGTAAAATCTCTTCTTATTGCACACCTAGGGTAATCAGGAGTCACTGAAAATCATTTTTCCCAATGCTGCTTTTGGTGCCTAATGGTTAAGCTGCGAATGCATCAATTGCTAAAGGCCCAGAGAAGAGGTGTGGCTGAAAGTTACATGTTCATGTTTACTGCTTTTAATATATGAGATGCATAGTCAGCCCTGTTGCTTTTAGCAATGTAAAGAAATCAACAGATTGTGAATGACACTGTGTAGCATTACAGCATGTTTTGGTGATCTAAACTAAGCAATGTTTTTTCCCAACAGGTCAGTCCCTGAACTGGCTGGATGGCTCATCAGTTAATTATGTCAACTGGGAGAATAAAACTGCAGAAGCCAATGAAAAATGCAGTGTTATCATGTCCAGAACTGGCATGTGGTCCAAAGTTGACTGCAGTCGTAGTCAAAGCAGAGTGGTTTGCAAAGCTCCTTTAGGTACAGAGGCGTTACCTTTAGTGGAGACTTAATTTTGTAGAGGCTGTTTTCAGGGTTTTCTGGTTAGTTGGGTAAAGTCTGTGTTGAAATAACTGAAGTGCAATTCACAAAAGAACCCATCAAGTACCTCTGCCTAAGCAAGAGCCTTCTGTTGTTGTTTAGCCATAAAATTGCATTCAGAGACAAATTGTCTAGGAATTTACTTCTCCTGGCTCCCACTGTCCACTCAGTGGGTAAGGGAGAGAACTGAAATGTCCACTTAAAAGTGAGCATAGAGTAGTTGCTGTTGCTTCTTACCACAGTGTATCTGTCATGGGTGAGTCTGTATAGGTGGAATCAGAGTTCTGCTTGTAAGAGATGCTGAGTAAGCAGGTACTGTAGATTGTGTTTTCAGTCTTGAGGAGGCTTCTGGAAAGAAGCTCCAGAAAAAGGCTCAGGCTGCTTGTTACTTCCTCATGCTCTGCTTTGTACAGGAAAGAAAGCAATTACCTAAGCATTAAGCAAGCAAGTTCCTGAGAAGCAGTGAAATCTTTCTGATTTTGTTTACATTTTCACTGAGGTGGAAATGCAGGAATAGATTTGACTTCATGCTGCTAAGGAAGACCTCAGTAAGATCTTTTCAGTCTGAAAGAGGTATAATTATGTCCCATTCCAAGAGCTTCCTTCCAAAAGTCCAGGACCTCATTAGATTTATGAGGTATACAAACCTCTAAATGACTGCAGCATTTACAAGTAGGTTTTTTGACCTCTGGAGGTCCCTTCCAACCTAAATATTAGTAAATTAACAACAAAATGATCAAAAATAAGCTAATGCATACCCATATGAATCAGCATCTAACTTCCCATATGATGAAGCGAAGACTATTAATATGATGAAGGAGTTTGCCTTGACTTCAACTAAATGTGTGCAGGAGGAGTGTAGGGCTACCTGAGCGTGAACCCCATGACAAAATATTCTTGCCAAAACTGTTAGAGAATAACTGTTTGTCTTTTGTTCTGTTTCAGGTTCTAATCACACTGGTGTGGCTGTAGCATTTGCCCTGCTAGTTATCTTAGTCTTTGCTGGTGGACTGGTGTTGTATCTCTACAAAAAGAAGCGTCTTCACTGGAGTGCCTTCTCTTCAGTACGCTATCAAAGAGGGATGAACGATGATGAAACGGATGATATGTTTGCAAAAGATGGCTATTGAGAAACTTCCTTCTGGTTAATTTAAGAAAGAACTTCACTGTGTGAAGCCATAAGAAATTAGCTGCTTGATGTTTTATTACTTCTTTTTGGAAAAGTAATAAGGTTATGAATGGGGCTAAAATTTGTTCTTTTATATGCAAGTGCAATTTTCTGATAAAAAGTCAATAATAATTATTTGGCCTCAGCCTTTCAAGGTGCAAGGTTTCTAGAGTTCTGTTGTATTTTTTTGAATTTATAGCATTTTCTCCTTTTACTGGAAAGAGCTTTTAATGGAATAAATTAATGCCAACAGCACTTCATGCAACATCACATTAATGAATACATTTAAAATTTACTTCCCCCAATACTCATACTAGGATTAAATGCCTAACTTTATAGTTACCAACCTGTAACTTCATAGGTTACATATGTCATCTGTCCAGGAAGATAAAAGATATGTCTAAGGAAAGAGTGAGAAAGAATATATGGTAAAAAAACTTGTGTACATAAATGCTAAAAATACTTGAGTATTTTACATAAAACTTAAACTTGATTTTTATATGATGTGTCACTGTAGCCTTTCCTATGCACTCCAAAGAAAGCTATAAAGGAAAAAAGGGAAGACGGAGTTGTATATATTAATTACTAAATGATTTGATCAGTTAATGTTTTGAAGTCTTTTGACTTTTTTTAATGCACAGTACAAAGAACAAGCGCATTTACTTTTATGAAGGAGGATATGCAAAAGACCAAATCCGTTCTGCATGTAGTGATGTCATGAGATGGTAAATGGGAATCCATTTGGACTGACTTGCTGAGAAGAGTACTACTGATTTCTCTGAAGCAGCGGTGCGAGGTCACGATGTTCAACTGCCTTTTCCTGCAGTTTACTTACGTTGATGGCACTTTTCTTTGTTCCTGTTTGCACTATTTTGATAAGCGAATGTTTATCATTTGTGTTGAGAAATAGAGAACTCTTTATAGATACTATTTTGAGCCTGTTAAAACAACAGCCTGAAAGGGGCAACTTAAAGGAGCCATTGTGGTAGTTTGCTGATCAAAGAAGTAAAGCACTTTTGTTGTTTGTTTGGTACTTTGGGCACAATTGTGAACAGTTGCTTTCCAGAGATAACTTACAGAAAAAGTAGTTATGATGTTAGTTACTGTGTAATGAAAATAACCTTCATTCTTTAGCTTACCCTGGTATGAGAAGTGTTTGAAACGTTGCAAAGCCTGGTTCCTGATGTCTTCTGGTTAAGCTTATATGCCTAAGTGCTTTGCCAAATGACTTTTAACTTAATGGACTAGAAAAAGTGTTGGTTATTGTGTTTTTCTACCTGCAGTAAAAAGTGGGGAGAATTATTTAGAAGTTCCCATGTTTTGAGATTTACTAGTTTTATAGATGTTTATACTTTGAGCATTTTTAGGTGTGAATCTGAAATGTAAAGTGTCAATTGGTAGTAAAATCCTAATTCAATACAAAAGAATATATACTTTTTATTAAAAATTTTATATTTTATTCTTATGAATGATGTAAATAATTTTTAAGGCCCCATTTCTCATGTTTGTTTTATCATACCCAAGTTGTCTAATCACTGGTAAGTCTTTTTTGAGTAAGCACAATGGCCTTAGTGCAGGTGAATAACCTACTTCATTTGAAATACACAGATTATTTAGGAGTACCGTTATTGAAAGAATAAAGTTAAATAAACCACTAAACTGCTTACACTGGTTTTATTTCCATGGAAGCAGTTATTAGAGCTAAGGAACAGCTCATTAATCAGTGGGTAAAAAAGCACATAGCACAGGGGCTGTGATCGGAATTAAGGCAAGTAACGATAAGAAAACTTTAGAGATAATAAATATCTTTGATGTATTTAAAAAGAATGCTGGTAACTTTCTTTTTGCAGTTGAAAACTTAGTTTATCATGGAATTTGGTTATACCTAGCTTTTATCAAGCTGCTTCAGGCTTACACAGTAAGTGAACATTCCTCTGTGCTATTTTGTTTTAATCAAGGTGTAGTTCATTAGCACGTCGAGGCCCAAACTAACTCCAAAGCAAAGTATAAAGGCTTCCAACATAGCTTCTCATAAAATATGGGCAAAGTTAAATTACTTCTAGCCAAGTTAACACTTGCAATTAAAGCATGAGATGTATTCATTTTAAGTACCATATGAAGTCTGAATTCCAGAGCTCTAAAATCTGCAACTGCTGGTCAAGGGGCAATGTTATTTTTATCTCCAGTAATAGCTTGCTGGGAGAAACATCCTATTGTGTAAGATGACTAACAAGGTCATCTGCTTCACAAACATAACTGAAGATGATGCACAGGGAAATGGCAGCAGAGAAGTGAAGTGCTTTCCCAGGTCCCAGAGCAGTAGAGTTGAGAAAGCATCCTTCATCCCAGAGCACAGACTGACCACAGACTGTGGTACCTCTAGGGAAAAAATATACAACTTCAGTTCCTCTTCCTGAATTTTTCCCAGTCCCTGGAGACTCTGGATCATAGAAAGGTTAATCCACATCTGCCATTACACCAGCCAGGATTTTTATTTTAGCTTATTACTGCATCAATAACTTAATTGACATAGAAATCAACAAGTGTTTACACTTGAGCACCGTTTGGGCCTGATGCTTTTGTTGTACTTCTCAGCATTTTTTCCCTTAAACCAAATGCACCATCTGCTCATTGCTCTGTACATATGTTATGCATCTAAACATTTTTGAAAGGAGGAAGTAAATTGCGTGGCCTGCCAGTGGTATTTTTTTGGTGTGGCTGCAAATAAACTAAGACCATACATTACAATTTTTGTTGCTAAAAGTCAGAACTACAGTTTGGACCCTTTATGGGTCTGCTGTTGCTGTGTGTTTGGAGCACAGTGGGATATGTAAAACCCAGCTTTCTAAAAGTCAGTCAAATTCCTTGTGTTGCCAAGAAGTATATAAAGTTCTTATTGACCAAATTAAACAGACTTTGCACAGTTTTAAAGCAAATTCACTGTGAGCAATACTGAAGAACTAAACTTAGGAAAAACAGGAGAGTAAAATTCAATTGTCACTCTAATGGACCTTTCCCATTTAGTTCTGGAGTTTAAGATGGGAGTTGACAAAGCGCTAAAGAAGGTAATTTTCTGTTAATAGCAAATTAACTTCCAAATGGTGCATAACATAAGTGCCATTATAAAATGCTGTTATCTTGGTTTTATTCCTTTATGGCTAAGCCACAACAATGGTATTTTCACATTGAAAACTCCTGTGCACTCTGTCATAATATCTGTCAGTAACTTAAAATTTTTAACAGATTTGAGGGGTAGGAGAGGATACCAGATGACGTTTTTATTGTGATTACGCAGTAATGCAACACAGACGGTAAGTCCTTATGGATTGCTTTTTGCCAATGCAGCAGGGACTATAATTACAAACAGAACAACAGTAATTTTTTTGTTTTGCTACTTTTTAGCATAAATAGAATAATTTACTCCAAGGTGGCTTTTAAAAAAGTGGAATTTCAGCAATATAAAAGACTTATTTCAAAATGTGTTTTCTTCACTATGCTGGCCCCTTACATGTGCATTTTTTGTTAAAACCAGTGAGAACAGATCTTTTTCTGCACTCTCAGGATGCTCATATGGATAGTAAGAGTATTGCTCCTGCTTTCTATAAAACTTCTCTTTTCAGATGTTATGTGTTATAGTTTCCCTTAAAGAGATTATATAGAGCAGATAAGTTTACAAAACCATGGTGCTATACTTCATAAAAGCTAACAAGCCTTTATGCATATTCAAATTAAACTTTAAAAATAATGGGTTGAGATGATTTTATAGATATGCATCATTGAATGTCATCCCCATTAGCAACCTAACTGCTTTCTCTTTCATTAAAATTTATTTTCATCTTTATTTTCATAAACATGATCTGGGTATTTGAAGAGCACCTTGTGTTACGTGAGAATGAATTATTTGTGTGTGGCTAATAGAAGTCACATTTACCCAGGATCAGGAGCTGCTTTGAGGGCTGGGTTTCCTATGTTGTCTCCTGTGGCCACCATTCTTCTTTGTACCTGTTCTTTCTCCTACCAGCTCTGCAGCACCACCAAATGGAGAACACACCACCACAGACACAAGAGCCAATCGGGCAGCCTTAACACCAGTGCAAGCTGCCAGGAACGGAGACCAGAAAGCACCACTTCCTATACAGAGTAGCAGCCACAGGCCTGAAATACTTGGGATGAACACCACCAATAGCCCCATAACACTGCCACAGGGTGCAGAGAAAGGGCCAGAACAGCCACTCCGGGCAGCTGGAACATCCTCTAACACCAGGACACCACAGCCTTGGCAGGTCTGTTCCCCTCCTCTGCGAGCTCCTCTCTCCTCTTTCAGCAGCCAGGAAGAAAGCAGCTCTCTTGACCCTTGCCCAAGTGCTCAAGACACAACAATGAGGAGTTTGCTGTGGTCAGGAGACAACTCTCCCCTCTTCCAGCCCTGAGGGACTCCTTCCACACCTCCCCTCCTTCTTCAGCCAGGGCGACTCCTACCATGCAGATTAAGGGCATTTGTAAATGCTTAAAGGCCTTTGTACCCCCCACCAGTCTTGCCTTGCAGGCCTTCCTTTGTATTGCTTTGCTCAAAGAGGGCAATTTACCAAGATTCAGCCATCCTAGGGGAGCTGGGAGGAGATTGCTCCTAGTGTAAATACCCCTGTGCCCATGGGCACACCCTGAGAGGGCACAAACATGGAGCAGCTGAGTTGCCCTCAGCCTGCAACAGGAAAAAGAAGCAAGGCAGGTAAGTTGCTCCTACTAATGTGTGTGCCTCAGTAGTGGACCTGCAAAAACTCTGCCCAGTGTGTAACCTGTTACTGAGCCAGTTGAGTTTATCCTGACAGGCTGTCACTATTTCATTAGAAGTCAGTCAGGAGTTACAGGTGTTTGCTTTTACAGGAAAAACGTGTTTATATTGGTAATCCTGAGCCCGGACAGGAAGGCCTGAGGCACTGTCGTGCATGGGCCAGTGCCTGAGGGCTGCAAGGGGCCCCAGACCTGCCCCTGGATGCAGCATGGGCAGGAGGTGGAGCTGGGCACACTACCAGCCAGCTGTGCTCTGTAGCCAGCCAGGCTGCCTGAGCCAGAGCAGGGTAGTGAATCTGTCAAGAACCAAGAATCGCCCAACTTAATGCATGTGCCCTGGGATGCATTCAGACCTAAACACCAGTGGAAAGTCCAGGTGCCCAGTGAGACTGAGTCCTTCCCAGTGGGTGTGAAGGCTGTCCAGCGGTGCTGAAGGGCAGTGCTGGACAGGCGGATGGGGGTAAGTGACTTTCACTGGCAATCCAGTTACTGGCATTCATCTCAGTGTTGACAGTGGCACAGGGCCAAAGTGTATATCCAGTTGTGCATTAGGAATCTCTGGTATAAAAAGTGGCCAAGAGCCTAGCAAATTTGCATTCCACCGATTTAGGAGTTTATATTTTACAGTGGGGGCTGGAATTCATGTGTGAGGGATTTGCCTAAAGGCCCAAGGGGAGAATGAAATTTTGAGGCCAATGCACAGAGTAATTAAAGAACAAACAGCCTACACAGTGAAAGGCTGTGTGTTTTAGAACAAGGTATAAATAAACAGCTGAAGTTTACAGACAAACTGGTTTAATAACTAGACGAGCTTGTGATACAACTTACCAGAGGCTGTGTCTTTGTGTATAAACCATTTTGTGTTTATGGCGTAGGTGCTGATTATAAATTGGCATGAAACTTGTTCATATAAAATAAACATTAGAACATTCACATTTGAATTAACTATTAAAGAAATACTGGGGTGGAGTCCCAAAGGGACTGCACATTACACTGACAAGGTGATCAAGCAGAATTAAAAAGGGAGTGACAAGGGCTTTTAGTTGGCTGCCACCTTGGGTGGTTTTTCATGGCTGCCACTCATAAATGCATTCACGCATGTTGCTGTAGTCATGCTGGACCTGCAGTGGTGCATGTTTGCTATGATGATAGTGATGTATTAGATGAAACAAGTGCAGTTTGAAATTCAACAGCTGCACAGAAGGGAGACTGGCTAGCTTGTTCCTGCTTCCATCCATGGGGAACAGGGCTGGCCTCTGAGTTTGCCACCAAGAAAAAATTTGACTTCAGTTGGTGGCAGCCCAGGAAGCAGTGAATGAGAGGGACAGGCCATGCCAGACCCTGATGTGCTTTATCACAAGAGGGATATTCAGGAGAGACATGAGGGCTGGGCAACCTGGGTTTGGTTTTGACACCCTCTGCACAACCAACCAGTAGCTGCCTGTGTGTGACATAAGGCTTCCTAAGCAGAAAGTAGGCAGAGCCAGTGTGGTTTTGGAAGCAGATAGGAATGTAACAGCTGAAGGAAGAAAAGCAACTGCTGAAGTAAGCAGAGGCAGTTCCAGCCTCGAATAAGGACAGTCTATGCAAGGTGATAGAGAAAAAAGAATATTGGAACAGCTGGAAATCAAATTGCATAGACCAATCTGCAGAGTCCCAAGGCCCTCAGAGCATCTGGCCAAGGAATATAGGAGACTATGATGATAGGGATTATGCATCGCTGCTTGGTTTCCATAACTGTGCACGGATTGAGGGAACTTTTGTCTGCTAGTGGGATTGTCTGTATTGCTGCCCTCAGTTCTGATTTACCACTTCAGTGACACAAGCTCTTAGGTGAGCACCGTGGCTCGGTCATGCAATTGTGTGTGAAGTGCAGATGGCAGCTTATTTGAGCTAGAAGTGATTTTCTGTTATTAGTGACTTTGGAGGTGCTGAAGAGAAGGGATGGAGCTGATCCTGCAGATTGGGCCTTGGAAGATGATTCACTTCTTTTGCTGCTTTCACCACAATACCCATCTCTGAACCACTGGGACATCTCCCACTAACAAAAGTTATGATTCATCCCCAGAGAGAACAGCAGAAACTAGAAACAATCCTTCCCAGTTGTAGCAGCAAACTATTTTCTGTAATTCACCCCAAAGGCAAAATTTGCTTCTGTGGTGAAGGGTTGTTGTATTCTCATGCCAGTGATGCCTACTTTTCACTTACAAGTTCTGAGTGTTAAGATCTCTGAGTAAACACCTTAATATGGGCACACAACGCCCATGAGTGAATACAGCCTGTGCAATCCAATAATTTATTAAACTTTCATCTTGTAAAGCCAGTTACAAATTAAAAAAGACAGAAGAAGGAATTCTGTAATAGAAATGAGCAAAGTTACAACAAACAGTAGTGGAGTTATGTTTCAAGTGGGTTCAAGCTGCCTGCAGCAACCCAAGAGCCAGAACACAGAGCTAGTGCAGAGTTAGAACAGGGATAATCAAGACTAGTCTGATACATAACAGATTGAGTCAGTGTACGGTTCGATACAACGGGTTGCTTCTCAGGCTGCCTCTGCATTCGTGTTTCTCACTTGTGACCTGGTCATCCTTTTATTCCTTGTGACAACAAGGGGGTGTTTATAGGATCCTTCAGTAAAGCTATTTAAGGCAAAACTCCAGCTGAAGTATGATGCACAGCAGTGGCTATCCTCTTAGGTTGATCATGTGCCAAGTGCACAGTGTTTGCACATGCTGCAGTGCAGTGGAAACAAGAGGAGTATGGGTTATGTACAGTGTTTCTTCTTGTACTGTCAATCTCAAAATTACAGTGTTCTGTGACACAGTGTTAGTGACATGGCACAGTCTGATGATGAAATGGAATCTGCTCCGTAATGACTCCTGCTTTTCTATTAAATTTTTATTTCATAGCTAATACACCTTAGCTACTACTTCTTCAGAAATGGAGACAGACTATATTAAACGTGGAACAAGGCCCACATTACATACAGTTCTGCAGTTTCATTAAGAAACAGAATGGGCCTTTGCATTCTGGGATCCCAAGACTAGACAAGAGTCATAGAAAATGGCTCACCACCAGCTTTCTTGTTTTCTAATTCAACTAATTTTTGATGTGACTGATACTGAATATTGTTTTAAACACTGAAGTCAAGTTTCTGAGGTCAAGAGACTGAAGATGACTGTCATCAAAATTCTGCTTCTTCAAATTGCAGGAGCTATAAATACCTCCAAGAAGCAGTTGTTTTGGCAAAACAGCATTGTTTTCAAGTTCTGCTGAGGACAAGGGACCTAGAGGAGACTGGAAAGGGATTTGGGGATTCCATAATGCAAGCAGTTCCTGTTAAAAGCTGGAAGTGGATGACAGGTTTGGCATTTGCTTACAGTTGTATAGAGAAGTGAAAATCTTACCTATAACAATTTATCTAGGCATCTATTCACTCACTAGGAAACAGTTCACTTTAAAACTAAAGTTCAGGGACCCCAGTCATCCTAAAATCCCATCTAGAGAACGAAGGATCTTAACGCAGGCAGGCTGGTCAACATAAACCTCCAACCTCCATCTAATACCTGGAGTTTGTGAAGAGCAGCTCTTCTGGAAATGCTAATAAAACAATCTCTCTCTTACACTGTACAGGGGAAAGGCAGTAATTTTTTTTTAGGCAATAGGTGCTGCTTACAATGTGCCTGGAATGGCAGTGGTGCTAGTCCCAAAGATTTTCTCCTATGTTGGAGTATTTAGTAGTTTAACTGAAAGTGCCACTTTTTATAGTCATGTACCTGTGAACTTTTATTGGAAGGTAAAGAATCACCTTGAGTGGTTTTATTTGTTTCTTTGTTTAATGCTCTCTCATGTAGGGTTTGACCTCTCTGTTGGACCACTTGGCTTCAACTACACAAAGGCATTTTCATTCAAAACCAGATCAGATCATTAGTGTATCCTGAAGAAAAAAAAAAACAAACAAACCACAGTGACTTATATTTTAGGTTTGCTTGCAAAATAAATAAAACAAATATTCTTTTATCAGACCATGCTATGATCACATGATCCCAGATGTCTGCATGTTCAAAATTCAGAAGGAAGCTTAAGTCTGTCTCCTGTCTTGCAGAAATGATTCTTGTGAATTTTTCTGCCAGCATGACAAGTAATGGTGAAAGCAGCAGAGAGGACACTGAAGGAGAACGAGGATGCTTCTGACTTTGCTTCTTTAAGGTACGTTGTTCATCAAACAAGCAAGGGGAAAACAAGTTTTGGGTCATTAGTGTTTAACAACAGTTGTTACTGTTTAATGTCTTTGGGCAGAGGTGCAAATCCTATAGTACTGTAGATGTCACTTCAGGTTTGGAATACAGTAGTCAGCTGAATTCTTAGAAAACATCTTTGCTACACTTGTGCTGGCAAGTTGCGAATACTCATCACTAAACTACTGCCAGTTCATTCGTATCACCTAGTCCAGATGCTTGCATGACTGTCCACACTGGTGGCTGATTTGACACTGCAGCGTTTCTTCACAATCATGTTGATGTATGCTTTCATGATCTTTATTATCTCGCCCACCTGGAGAGAGAATACAGTAACAGAGGATAAGCACATTAAAAACCTCAGTCCATTGAGTCATACAGGACATTTTGCTGAAAAAGACTCCCTTGTCCAAAGTCATGGCACAGTAAATTTTGCATGCAATACTAAATGTGAACATGACAGTAAGAAAAGAAATGCTTGACAAGTTTGTGCTCTGTTGTAACAACACTTAAAAAGATTTTTAGCTCAAAGAAAAGCAATTTCAGTGCTACAAAACTTTCTTTTTTTTTCTTTTTTTTTTTTTCTTTTTTTTTATATTTGTGAATTACCCATTCATCTATTGGAAGGGAATGAAAAAACCAGGCACAATCATGAGCATCCAAAACTGGAACTTCTCAATGCACTGGAAGACCATTCAACCTCCTTCACTTTCTAACTAGCATATTTTTTTTTTGTTTATCCCTGTATTCAACAAGAGGTACCATGCCCTTTAGGTTTAAGCTCCCTTCATCTCTTCCCTTGGCTTAGTCCACTAGTCAAGAGTTCTTGCAAAGAAACCTGTCTATTCCTTGGAGCTTAACTGAAGTGGCAATAAAACTGAACATACAGCAAGTCTTGTGCTTTCACATACCTGGGATGTTTCAAAGAACATTTCTCTCTCATCCACTGTAATTTTGAAGGTGTTAGGCTGTGGTGCTCCAAAGAAAACAATGTGCTCATATTGGAAAGTTTCTAGAGGTTTAGGATCCCCTCGTTTGTAGACAGACACATTCTCTGTGCTGACTCCAAGCCAGAGATCGTTGGGGAATCCACCCTCCTTGCACTGCAGAAAGAGAAACATGACCTTTTGCATAAATGCAGTGGAGAATCAAATAATTTTTGATTCAAGGAAAAGCCCTCTGTCTTTAGTTCCTGTAGGACATTTCAACTCTTCCCCCCAATACAAAAAATGTCTGCAGAAGGTATGTTGGAGGCACTTCTGCTGCAATGATTCAGAAATTACATGACTATGAGTAAAATACTACTTGAGTAGTAAATAATTATAATAGCTAACACTTCTTATCAGATTTTAAAGTGATGTAGCAAGTCAATATTCCACTTCTTATTTTACAGATAATATAGTGAGTGCAGGCAACTTCCCATAGTGATCCACCTAGGTAGCAACAAAACTGATAAAACTGGAACTGTGGATCCCTACTCCAGCAGACTGAGCACAGTGCTGTAAGTGTCCCAGTCTGAGCAGTTTCTGTTGTACTGCTGCAGAACAGGATTGCAGTTTTTGCTGGTAAGGACAACAGAGCTTGGGTTTACTTTTGCTTTCAGTAGCCACCACTTTTTTAACCCCTCCCTCCCCCAAATTCCCAAATTCCATTGTTAGTCCAATGAAGTGGGAATCCATTGTCTCCCTTCATTTACCATGATGTCCCAGCTTGCTTGCTCTGTGCTCTTTGCGTCACAACTCTTGGGTATGTGGTACTGCAGGCTTACACTGAGCTTACTAAGGCAAAATGCATCCAGTTACTGAAACTCCCCTGTGCTGCTGAGCAACGTGATAACACGGCTCTATCTGTTCTTCAGGCTGATGCCTTTCCTTGCCTGTAGTTACATGAGTTTATACATTGCTCACCTCAACATCGAAGAGTGTTGACCCATAACCTGGCCACTCCTTTACGATGGTCATGTATTTCACCATGGCCTGATGCTGAGAGAGTCCCTGCAGCTTGGTCCATTTCTGTGCTATGCTTGCACGAGCAGCTGAAAGCTCTTCCTTCACCCACATCTCCATCATCTGCTCCTCTTCTACCTTCTGCTTCTTTACAGACCCTGTCTTGAAGCTACGTTTCAATGTCCCTTCAAGGAAGCTGGTCCGTCTCCTCTCCAGAGTATGACTGGTAGTGCCACTGCTCTTCGTTGAGTGCAGTATTTTGGATTTCAGTCTGTTAACTGGGTAGATTCCATCAAGGGTCCAACTTATTTTGGAGTAATCTCCATGAAGATACTGAAGCCGCAGAGCTGCTAGGCGCTGCAGAGTGTCCTCTGGTGCTGGAAAATGACCATCTATGAGGCTTTCATGAGCCTATAAACAAACAGAAAGTCCCCCAGACTCATCAGAAAGCAGAAGCACACTTTATTCACAGCTGGGTCCGTGTACAGATTCCTAATGGCATCTGCCGATCCCAGTAGGAAAGACACAATTCAGGTGGTTACAGCAGACATTGCAATAAATAAGTCCCCCCAATGTGGGGGGAACACCCCTTTCTGCAAACCTGGACAGGACAAAGATCTCTGAGGGGCTCCTACCCTGCACAGGAAGTCCTACAATGAGGACCATTTATGTCTGGAACTGATGAAGAGACTGGAATTGAGGCAATTTGGTTTTGTGCTGTACCAGCTCCTGCGTGGAGATATATTCAACACCAGAGTCAGATGTAATAAAATCAAGATTCTCAACCTCAGTTTCATTACATAAAAGCAGTTCGCACCTCTTCCTCTTTCACTCAACATCTCCCCCAATCTTCTTGCTTCCCTTTGTCTGTTTTTCTGTTAAATCTATTTATGGGGGAGTTTGCCACATCCATTTAACGCCTGGATAACACCTACTCTCCTACTGTTACTTCTCCTTGCCAGTTGAAGCTGTGAAGACTGAAAGCCTTGTCAACAGGGAGTTTGGTACAACTGAGTTTCCACAGAGCACCATGATCTCTTGTTCCCAGCCGTTCTCTAGACATTCTATAATTGACAATACTTGACAATACTTGACGTTCATTTCATCTGTGTGATGAATATGCCACCCATTTGACTATCAGTGAGTTTCAGTCTTCGTGACTCTGACTGCCTTTAATAACATATTTAATAATTTTCATCAGCTATGATTTTCTGAGGCAAGGTCAGTGTTCATTAGAAGTCATACAGATGGGACAAATCACACAGCTGGGTGGTGCAGTCAGTTTAGTTTTACATCCCTAACTGGCTCTTTCATACCAGTGTGATCTCTGATCTAAGCATCATCATTGTGCTACGGAGTACAGTGACTTCAAAAACAAGACTACTTGTCAGATAAACATTGTCAACTACATTCTTTTTTCCTTTGTCTGTAGTACTCTTCTAGAGCCTCTCTGTAATCAAAAGAAATTGCCCAAAAGATAGGTTTCATAGTTAATTCTGGTAACACCCCAAGGATATGCTGTTTTTATAAGCTGATCTGCAGACTTTCCAGTTTTCTTTACATTTATGTTCTGCGAGCAGCTACTTTCAATGATTCATCTTGAATCATTATCCAAATTTTTATGTCTTTTAAAAGTAAAGTTTAAAAACATTTTATTATCGTTGGTCTTACATTTTTTTAAGCCTTTGCTAATTTTCTTGCTTTTATTCTAATACTCACCTAGAAAACTTCACAGTGTACCTTCTTGGTAGATTCCAGGCAAAAATCCAAAACACTAATTCTTCTGTTCCAACCAGCATTCCCTCTTCTAATGAAAGGTAAGCCAATTTTCTGTATACTCATGTGCTTCTGCCACCCTGGAAACCAGGTAACTCTACTGAAGTGAGCTTACCTGCTCAAACATGAAGGCAAATTCCACCCCATCTTTGGGAACATTCTCAATATCCAAGAAGCAATAAAGCTTAAAATACAGTTGCCACTGTCCCTCCTCTTCTTCTTCAGAGCCAGCAAGTCTGTAAGATATGAAAGAGAATGAGAATGGAAAATACCAGTAAGGAAAAGAACCAGAGTACTGGGATGTCCACAGTGCAACTCACAATCTGAAGGTAACCCCGGATTCTGAAATCCAGTGTTACATCCAACTAGGAATTAAAGGTTTTATGAAACATTCTTTTACCTCTCAAACTTGGCCAAGATATCAGCCACAATCACCCGACTCTCCACAGCACGGTCAACCTGCTGATTATGTTCAAAGAGCGCAAACATATTCCGGCTGTCCTCCATTGCTAAACCTCGGATCAATTTTTCAACCACCTGCAAAATCAGAGACACACAGATCACACAACAGGTATTACACACACTTTCACACTGAAAAATCAGTACCTCTTCAGGACACTCATAATTTCATACACTTCCATCACATTTCTCCCTTAGTTACCTCGTTTTCAGAATAATGAATACTAACCCTGAAAGATGATTCCCTGTACTTATAGTTGATCATCCTTGCTTTTCTTCTCTGAACCTTTTCAATTTCCCCTTTTTAAAGATCTACCCTTTTTAAGATGGGGAAATCAGAGCTCTGCACAAGATATAGGCACATAATGGATTCAGATGGCATGACATTCTCAGTTCCTCTAATAACAATTCCACTTTTTCCTCTGTTGAGCACTAATGTTTTCACAGACATGACTACTGCAACTTGGAATCTTGCGTCTGACCTGCTAGTGATTAAGTTACTGCTAGAATATCCCTTTCAGAAGGATTCCATTACGAACTGGAATTTCTACTTGTCCAGAAAACTGTGTTTAGCAAGTCTTCAGAATTAGTACCTTTCCAATGGATAGAACACCAGAAGTGTTTAGATTTTGCAACACAATTGTCAGGTGATATTCTACAACATGGGCACTGGCCTTGTAGAATAAGCTGAAACTTCCCTACAGATACAGCAAAAAAGTTATAATTAAAAAAAAAAAACCAACAAAAAACGAAATTAGGAGATGAATGGGTAAAAGGTGTCTCTTCATCTGGTTAATGCTACTAATGCATTACCTCCCCAGCGCTGGTGTGGGAGTTGATGGTTATTTTACAGGAGCCGCCGCCATGGCAGTACACTGTTGTGGTCATTTCTTCACGTGTGAGAAGAGCCTGTATTTCCTCCTGGGAGGGCACAAACTCCCTTGTCTTTGTTCTCTTCAAGGAGTCACTTATGAATTGTGCATACCTGTCTATTTCTGAGTCTGGAAAGAGGTCTTTTACCCTAATTGTAAAAAGAAGTAAAAAAACTCCATTACACATTGAACCACACATTACCATGAAACTTGTCTGGTAGAGATATTGATGTCAAGTGCAACCACAAGAAATACAAGCTTATTTCCTAAACCATGCAACCTGCTTTTACTAGTCATTTGAAAGTGACTTCAGTGACATTGCTCAGCAATGTGTGAAATAAGCAGTTCAAATTATCAGGAGTTTAGTACCAGTTGAAGACAGTACAATCGACTATCTCAATTTACAAAACTGAGAATAAAAACTATGAAATCAAATGTAAACTTTTTTCATTTATTCTTAATGGTTTTTTCATTTACTGGCTGTGTTTGAGCACTTTTACAGTATATTTGAGAATTAAAAGATAGAAAGTAGATGCTTGTACACCGTTCTCTTCCCTCCAAGGGCAGCATGTCTCAGTATAAAAATATCTGCAACTGCAGTGGTAAAACTATGAAATGGCTACACCGAGTATTCTTCAGCACCTCTCAGACTCAGGCCCTGGGTGTAGCTATTTGGTGTACTGACACAAAATTCATCTCACTCTTTTCTAGCTTGTAAATAATTAAATAGATTTTATTGATCTTTCGCATCACTCTCATCATTAAGAATAGAGAGAGGCTACAAGGCTGCAGCTCAGCCCCAACGCAGACTGCTTTGGAAAGCTGCATTAGATGCTGAAGATGAATTGGGAAGAAATGGAAATTACTTAGTTCATGAAAATGGGAGGCTGAAGCAGATTAAAATTAAAAATTGTAAGCATTATGTGCTTACTTAAGCAAACAAATACTGAAAAATTATAGTTTGGATTTACAGTACATCTCCCGTTCCATAGTACACATTTTGCTTGTGCCAGCTGCAGGGTAGTACACATTTCAATGAATATGAAGGTTTGGCCCTCACCTTTCCAGCAGGTTGATAATGTTTATATGTACCTTAGTAAGCAGTAGTTCATCAGCTGTAAATCCACTGTAACACAGTCTCATGGTATTCTCTTTGGGTAACTTACATACCACATCCTTTTGACACAGTAGATGGATGGCAAGGGGGGAGTTTGAATACACAGAACAACTAGTACCAAGAATTGTGTGCAAAAGCAGGAGGCTGGAACACCACAGGAAGATGTTTCCACAGGAGGAGGGCAGGATAGGTAACTACAAGGGGCAGTGGAAGATAAGCAGAGTAAAACGAAACAGGCTGCAAACCGAAGGGACATTTACCTTCGAAGGTGGAATTTGAGGTAGCGCAGGATCCCTCTGCTGGGCAAGAAAGTGCAGCTCATACAGCACATCAGCTGCCAGTGGTGCAGGTTCCCAGTACTGTTGGGATGTGGCATGTGGTTAGTTTGCTTGATGAGCTGACAGTACACTTCATCACGAAGAGGTTTTAAATCATGGCAGGTCTGCAGGATGCCTTGGATAATGGGTATGGGGTCAGACACCGTCTCGATTTCCTGAAGGGAGTTGAAGATCTTCACTGCTTCATCCTGTAAGCTGCTGTAACCCTTCTCTTGTTGCACTGGGAAACAATCACAAAAGTGACAAGAGGTGAACATCTCCCTCATTTTCTAATGGCCCAGCAACACTACAAGCAATTGTACTACTCTGTACAGCAACCTGAGCTCATATCCTGAACTTAAATTTATCCTCAAAATTCATTAATACTTCCCCTATAAATGTTCAAATGCAGTTTTAAGTAGTGTTTGCCAACATCTCACTTTGCACCACTGCAAATTCATGTCTGGATATACTGTGCAGAAAAGCAGAGTGATGCTTTTAAGGGAAACAAGCACTGAAATCTAGTTCAGGCTTCAGTGTCTGCAACTGAGGTGCCTAAATGCAGCCACCAAAGCCTGGCTTGTATACTTTCAAAACTCTGTGTTGTGCCTGTATTAGCTTTGACCCCTGAGCCAACAAAGAACTTTCACAAATTGTGAAATTGCGCAGATGCAGCTTTTACCTATTGTTTACATTTAAAATGCTTAGACCAAAACTGCTTACATTTTTTGAGCACCTGAATGTCTGCTCTGAATTGCTCAGACATATGTGATACCATCCTGCTGCAGGCTTGCATTCTGCTTTGCACATCTCTGGGGCTTTAGGTCCTTCTGAATCTCCTGTACAGCCACTGCTTTCCCAGTGCCCATGCATGAGTTGTGCTATTCCAATACACAGCCCTGTACAGTAATTTATACAGAGTAAGTGCTTGCTCTGTAATTTTTCTGTATTTCAAAATTTATTTTTTCTGGCCTTTTAATCTGCCACATAATT